CCAGAGGTTGAAATAGATGTGGATGTTTGTGCTGAGATTCCAAAAAAAAAAAAAAAAAAAAAAATTTTTTTTGATACTTGTCTGGATTTCCAAATATAGTGAAAAACTCAAATAACTTAATATTAAATGTCATTACTTAGATAAAGAATTTATTTAAGTTGATTATTTTCATCTTGAGTTGCCTTGTGCTACAAGACTGAATGGCTAAGTGTTTTGTTACAAATAAACACATTTGATCTCTTATATTTAAAATGACAATTTTATGTACAACCCTAAACAAGATTAATTGATTTGCAGCTAATATGCCCAATACTTCAGGAAAATGAATTTAATGCCCCCATAGAAATCATTTTAAAATTTTACACAGCAAACCAAAATACTATATGTATATTTTTAGGCAACAATCCTTTCATGTACATTTCATTGAAAATGACAGACAAGGTGCTTTTATTTAGTTTTTTATGCAATCTAATAATTTTTTTTTCTTTCCAGATGATAAATTATATGAAAACTGTATGAATGTTCTTTTTATCCAAGCACTTCAACTAAAATATGCAGAGTAAAGCCACTTGGCTTTGCTGTGTATTCATACTAAGTTATAAGATTCTCGCTCACTTCTGTTATTTATAGCAGTGCTTGGAAGGAAAGTGTGTAGAGTGTGGTTACCACACTACATCAGTGACCATGGCTTGTGCAGTAGTTTGATCAAGCACAATATTCCCCTTTTTTCCGATTTCCAAAAATCAAATCCCAGTTGAAAGGAACAAGATTTCAAGATGTCGAGGAAATTAAAGAGAATGTGATGAGGCAGCTGCTTACTATATATAAAAAAAAAAAATTTCCAAGAATGCAGGATAATGTGTGTAGCTACAGGAGGTGGGGTTGGGAGGGCTACTTCGAAGGAGATTAAATACTGAATTGATATGTGTTGTAGTTTTCTTTTTATGATTTTTTTTTATTATTATCAGACCTCATGTATAGATATAGAAAATATTTCTTTTCTAATTAAAGGGAAGTTATCCGCATGAGATTTAATGTAACAATGGAAATACGCTATGTTCAAAATTCTGCTTCATTTTATATACTCAAAATTATATGCTAGGTATCATCTCGGTTCTTGTTCATGAAGATTTAAAAGTTAATAGTCACAACAGAAAGTAAACAAAAAAACAACAAACTTTTATACGAAAAGGTGCTTTTTGTTGGTTAATCTAAATACAAAAGAGACGTTTTATGCTGACTTTAAATAATACAACAGAATTAACAACATTTGGGAATACAAATGTTTGAAAGAAATTCTTTGACTTGAAGGAACATTGGGAATTAATGCTGACAATGTTATTAAGCAAATTCTTTTACCAAAAATTAGTGAAATATAATAAATTTTCAAAATAAATTATAATCCAATCAAATTCAAACACTTACATTAAGGCATTAATGATTACATTTGAATCTAATTGCTCTCAATCAGAAAGAAAAAAATTAAGACAATGAATTTTGATGATAGAAGTAACTAGAATATTAAAATGTCTACTCATGATTTAAATATATTTAACCATTTCCCTTGAAAAAAAATTTAGATAAATTCTTGAGGTGGCGTTATAATCACAAGAATGTCCAAATGTCAAATTTATAATTCTTAAAAGACTTAAATTTAAGTCATGGTAAAAGCACTTGTGCTTGCCAGATCACTGAAGTAAAGCAATGATAATCCCTGTTCAGGACTAGAAAGCACAGTAAACACTCCGAGACACTTGTTAAAAAAAAAAAAAAAAAAAACTTGGTAAATGGTGGCAATGGTTGGTTAAAATTCTCGGACTTTTCTTACCTTCCTGTAATATACTGGTCCATTTGATAGTAAGTAGCACAAGCAAGTCTAGTAGAAATATGCTAAGCTTGAAAGGAGCTAGTAGACAGTGAAAGACCTATAGGAATTTATTGATTTTTTTTTTTTTTAACGGCTTAAATTTTTGTGGGTTGTTTAAAGCTGAAACATTGAGATATTACTTACACTACCCAGTGTTCACAAACAGTCCCTATCTAAGTATTGACAGAGCTAGATGCTGCTCAACTCCAGTGATTAAACAAAAACCAATGTTTCTAGGCCACCTATAAGAAAATATCAAACAAAGAGAATGTACAAAGGTAATGGTGGTGGTAATTTTTAAAAACCAAATTCATATTAGTACTTAGTCAAATTATGTATAATTAAGAGGCTAATTATCATGAAAGTGATTGACATGAGCAACAGCAATCAACACTATTTCTTACTTCCATTGCCTTTCCATTAAAGATTCTTTTTCTTGTAACTAGTAAATGAGCTGTGAACAATGTCTTAAATGCACGCCTACAAAGAGAGATGGACAACATCTTATATGCCATTCAAATAAAATTAGAAAACTGAATTAAAATATTAACAAAGTCATTGGCTTTCAGATAATTTTGATGTTTGCATCACTATAAATAACAAAATTGATGTAATTACTGCATAAAAACAATGTTCAATCCTAGAAAGCTAATTATCTTACCATAAAAACAATCTTAAAATTTAACAACTCTAATGTGCATGCAAAAATCTAGTTGTGTTAAAAGAATCAAAAGCCGCAAAACAAGAATATCATAGTTGGATTTAGCAGTTTCTCTTGTTGAGAGAGATTAGTTATGAGAAACATTTGATCATGACAAAGAAAAAATATGTTGGCCTTTGCTAAATATCTAATTTGAAATCCAAGTGACATTTTGTGCATTTCAGAAAAGACAGAAGTAAACTATCTTGGCCAAATTTCTGCTAAGAAAAAAAAAAGCTACACTGAGAATTATTTAGAATCCAATTACTCTAAAAAAAAAAAAAAAAAAAACAACACATACACAATACTTGACTTAAATGTAAATGAAAGAGATACTAATGACAGAATTTGAGTTTTGTTCAGAGACTATCCTTTATTTCTGATTTGCACTGTTTACTGATAGCCATAGACTAAATGAAATGAAAGAAATACTACTTAAAAATTGATAATTTCTTCTTCATTAGTCAATTTATCAAAGTCACTGTGGAATCTACACTGGTGAGCTGGAAACAAGGATAGTAGTGAGTTGTTATCAAAAGAAAGATATACAAGTGAAATGGTGGCACTGTAGGCAGACACTCATACTAATGTTAAGAAAAAAAAAAAAAAAAAAAACTAGATGCTAATAGCCAGTAACAACTAAAAAATTCTCCTGAAATGATGACACTCAATCACTAAAATCTTAACATTTTCAAGTCTAGGATCAATTGCTATTTATCCTCATGATATATACCTATTACCTTCTTGTACACTTTTACAACGACCCTATTCAGTAACCCTCTATCTTGAATGCCTCATGTCTTGTATTAGATGAACTAATATATATATATATATATATATATATATATATATATAAAAACATTCTTTCACTAGGTAGTGACATTTTAAACAAGCACACATACAAATAGTTAAGCAGGAATCTTTGCAAGGTTTAATGGTTGATATATGCATTATTTTGCAGTAATGATTGTCAGTACAAGTAGTTTTTATTGGAAAAATGTTATTTTAAAAAGGTAATGTTTGGTAAAATACATAAATTGTAAAAATTCTCAACTTTTGATTCATTTCATGCAACTGGCTTTGATTTGAGCCATTAAAATTTCATATTAACTAGTTTTTTTTTTTCAAAAGTGTTGTAGACAAGAGAAAAAAAATACATTTTGCGTAAGATGTTTTCAGGTAAGATTATATTCAGATATTACTTGATCATTTACAGTTTTTAAAGCTAAAAGAATAATTTTTTTTTATATTTCATCAGGATGCCTCAAAGAAGTATCAAGTTCCATATTGATAAAGCTCTTTAAAAAATTATATTACAAGCCTTTGTCAAGCTGGAAAAACAAATTATTGTAGAGCTGCTACAAATGGAAAGAACTACCCTTTTCCTATCTGTTGGAACATTCTCTCAACCAGGGCAACAGTGAAGTGGAAAAAAACTACTGCAAGATATGAGGATATCACCCAGCATTGTGGACTGCTTCCCACTACCCAGAAAATCTATCCCAATGAAAATGTCTTCCAGCGCGACAATAAACCTGGCTAGCAGAAAATTACTTTCTATTTAGACTTTTCTACAATCAAAGCTAACAGGAAGTCCTTTAACAAAACTTGTTTGTGGAATGTCATCTAAGAACAGTGGGATTCTTTCCTGCCATGATTCAATGAACACCAAGATTAAACAAATGAATGTTGCTAAAAGTGATCATATTAAATATATCTGGTGTGTGCACTTATAACATTATGGACACATCAATTTCCAAGTTATGTGTGTAGCAGTAATGAAATATGTTTGGCTCATTTAAAAGTGCATACTGTATTAGCATGCTTTACAAATTGTACCAACTTTCCCTAAATAGTCAACTTTGAAACTAAAACTTCCAGTAAAAGACTAGCTGATAAGAAAATGTTAAAATGAAAACTAATTATTCTTGTAGTAGGTAACTAGTTATATAATTTATTAAAATGGAATTTTCAACAAATCAATGGAAGATTTTTTTTTTTTCACATTGATAGTATTTTTCATATGCCATTAGGTTATTAAAAGATAAATTAGAAAATATACCAACTCTTCAGAAGTCAAAATTAATCTGAAAATGAATGTGGTATATATGGAACCATTTTAAGTCCTAACTGAATCTGGCATTTCACAATTAACATGCCACAAAATTGTTGTAGGTTACTTTACAGCTTCTCAAATCTGGAGAAGCTTAAAAAAAAAAATATTAGGGTTGAAAGACCCCCCCCCCCAACTCAAAGTATCCTGAAAGATTTTGTCCTAAATGAATAATTTTACATCTGAAATTCCAAATATACAAGGGAGTGAAAGTAAAATAACCCACAACCATTACCAAACCACAGTCCAAGTTTTACTTACAATAATACTGCAGATTTTCCACCATTATTTTTTTTTTTTTTCCAATTTTATTAATAAAGTCACTTGTCTTTCTTTTCAGACATCAAAGAATTGATGAGAAGTTTCAGTTCATTTTCATAAATCTCATAAGAAAGGACACCATTGTCATCAAAAAACTTGGCCACTGAATGTTTGAAATTTGCTGTTCGTAAACCTCTCTTCTTTCCATCTTTGTAGTCAATGATCAGATGGTAAATGTCATCATATCTAAAGAAAGGAAGAAAAAAAAGATTTGCTTTGGAATTAACAAAATTCACATTGCTTAATCACAAATATGACAAAAACCACAACAACAATAATGATGTTCATTATTTCATTAAAAAAGACCAAATACAATTAAAACTACTGAATCCATTTTATGGAAGTTTCTTTTTTTCATGTCTTAATGTTTTACAAAAACTATTGAAACTACAAAAAAAATAAAAAAAAATAAAATAAAATTTTATTATTTACATTCAGGCTAATATCCTCATCTTTGTTATTTTTTTCTACAATTTTTATTATCCAACTTCATTGTTTGAACTTTGTCATTGGAAAAGCAAGAGAAATAAAACATGGTCACTTACTTTTTAAGATAAGAAGAAACTGTCCAAACATTATCTGGATCTACACCAGCAGCATCTTTATCAAGTGCCACCAAGAATATTCCTTTTTCTCTATAAGATGTATAAACAGTAAGAATAGCCATTAAAATGAAGTAGCTGAAAAGATAGTTAAGGAGCTTTGCAGATAATACATTTGGGACTAAAAAGAAGACAAGTGTATGTGTGCATGTAATTATATATAACTTGACAACTTATAACAATTAGATGCTTGCCTTGAGCGTCAGATAAACAGGATTTTTTTTATTGCATTTTATGATAGACATGTTTGTTAGCTTTTTTCCTACAAGATAGAATTGAAGTAAATTTAGTCTAAAAAAGAAACAAAATGTGTTTTTTATTTTTACCCATATCATTTAAGTTCTTTCAGTGATTAAGTGTATATATATATATATATATATATATATATATATATATGACAAATTTTATCTTCTATTTAAGTTACAGACATTTCTAAATTTAGTATGTATATATCAACTTTATATTTCTATAGTAAGAAGTAAATTCCAACTGGACAGATTCTTCCTAAGAACTGCTTTGTTAGACTCCTAGCAGGATCTTTTCTCAATATCAGCGCACGCACACACATGTATACGAGATATACATCTCTGCACACACATGTATATATATATATATATATATATATATATCAGCACATCAGGTTCTCAGACTTCCTGAATTCAAGCGCCCTACGAGGCTGGCATCCTGCTCTCACCCCTTCACTGTCGAAACTCCTAAATGCAGCCGTCTCTTCTACTCCAATAGCTTCATGTCTTACACCTCTCGCATGTGGAACTCCCTTCCCTATTCTAGTTTCCCTGAAAGCTATAATCTCCAGCTATTAAAATGTAATGTCAATCGACATTTCCAGTTGCCTTGATCTATCCACTACCCTTCTCCTCATCCTTTCTTCTATCACCCCTATCTGACCTCGCTCCAAATTTTCTGTAACCACTTGCGTCCAAGTGGCCTCCCACCTTGCTTGGGGTGAAACGCTTAAAAAAATATGTGTATGTATACACACATATATATATATATATATATAATAAATTAATTGATTTAAAATGTTTTTTTCCCCCCCGCTACATAGTTCTAACCATGTTTCAAAAATAGAAGCTAAAAGCCCCGAATTTAATTTTGCAATTAAATTAAAAGCATTAGTTCCATTTCATCCTCAAGCGAATTATGGAGTAACTTTTAAAAAATTACTGGGTTTTAAAGACACAGCTAAAATCACGTTTCCATGGTTACAGAATATTCTACTTAAATTGGACAAGGGATGTCTAGGTTAGCTTCTACTTTTGAAACATGGGTAGAACTATGTAGCGGAAAAACCATATTTTAAATCAATTAATTTATAATATTAATGCTCTGTAAATTTACATTGAGCACTATTTTGTAAAAATAAAAATATCTATAAGAACACCGGATTATATATCTTACTGTTCTTTCTTTTTATATATATATATATATATTATATATATATATATATATATATATATATATATATTTAAAATTTAAAAATTTTTTTGTTTTTTTTTAAGCTACACAGTTCTAACCATGTTTCAAAAATGGAAGCTAAAAGCCACAAATTTAATTTTGTGATTAAATTAAAGACATTAGTTCCATTTCATCCTCAAGCGAATTTTGGAGTAACTTTTTAAACTTTTTTTAATAAATTTATCTGTAACCTTGGAAACATGAATTTGGTTTTAGCTGTGTATTTAAAACCCAGTAATTTTAAAAAGTTACTCCAAAATTCGCTTGAGGATGAAATGGAACTAATGTCTTTAATTTAATCACAAACTCAAATTCATGGCTTTTAGCTTCCATTTTGAAACATGGTTAGAACTGTGTAGTAAAAAAACCATATTTTAAATCAATTAATTTATAATATTAATGCTCTGTAAATTTACATTGAGCACTATTTTGTAAAAATAAAAATATCTATAAGAACACTGGATTATATATCTTGTTGCTTTCTTTTTATTTATATATATATATATATATATATATATATATATATATTTATATATATATATATATATATATATATAGTGCTGTTTGATGAAAGTGACTCAACTGCTTATTGTTTTTGTTTTTTTTTTTAATAGAAATATTTTTTGTCTTACCCTAAGGTATTCTATTGATAATTATCATTTTGGATATAAATGAGATTTAGGGAAAAACTGCAAATCACTTATTTCCTGCAACTAGTAATCAATAGAAACATAACCGAACAGCTTTAAAGAAAGAACAATAGAAGTATAATTTATTTATAACAGGTAATATAGTTCGAAATATTTAATAATCTATAGGTCCTCCTTTATTTTGTATAACTTTTACAACTCTTTTTGGCATTGACTTGATTAGGTTCTGGCAAATCTCATCTCCAAGCATTGAATTCCATTCGGATATGAAATTCACAATCAAATCTTTGTTGCTCAACTGCTTTCTCAAGAGCCTGTACTTTATAATGCTCCATAGGTTTTCTATGGGGTTGAGGTCAGGAGATTGGGGTGGCCATGTCATAAGACTCACCTGCTTCTCATCAAAGTATTCCTTCATCAATTTTGATTTGTGACAGGGAGCATTATCCTGCATAAAAATGAGCTTGGTGGGGTTGATTTGCACCCTTTCAGCAGAAGGGAACAGACAAGATTCTAAAATTCTCTTGTGCTGCTCGCTCCTGAGGGTCTTTTCAATAGGTTTTAAGAAACCAGTTCCATGTAAAGAAAAGCATCCCCAGAACATTATACTGAATGGATGCTTGACAGTACTTACTGCTAAATTCAAAGAGCTTTCAAAGCTTCTTCGGATTTTAGATCGCTTATCCTTTGAATTTAGCTCAACTTTCGTTTCATCGGAGAAGAGAACATTCTTCCAGTCTTCTACAGTGAAATTTTTGTAATAGTGATCCCATTCAAGTCTGTTGGCTTTGCTTATTAGCAGCTTAAACCTTCGTGTACAAGATTTGTAGCCTTTTTCTAACAGACACCGACTGACTGTTGAAGAGGCAAGACTAACACCTTGGTCTTTGCTTAGACTGGCTGCAATTTCTTGGCTAGTAATCGTCCTATTCTTCGCAACTTCTCTCTTGATTACCCTGCCAATTCTATCATCAATCTTTTTCTTTAATCCCCTTGTTTCCTTCCTTGGAACAGGAGTGGCATCATTATGTGCCTAAGCACTTAAGAGACAGTTGATTGCAAGTTTATAGAAATTTCTCTCGTAGACTTGCCCGCTTTTGAGAGGGCAATAATAGATGCCTTAAGTGGTTCTCCTTAAATTTACCAGTTTAATCAGTAGAATGCGATATCTGAGTCACTTGTTTTGCACAGAGTTTTTTTCCCGAATCTCATTTATATCCAAATTTATAATTATCAATAGATTACCTTATGGTGAATCAACTTTTTTCTTAGGTGGTTGGGAAGAGGTTTTTATATTAGTAAGATTAAAAATTATTTTAACCTAAAAAAATAGACAAAAATATTTTTAGTAAAAAAAATCAGGTGAGTCACTTTTATCGAATAGCACTGTGTATGTGTGTATATATATATATATATATATATATATATATAAATAAAAATCAAATTTCAGTGTCTTTGGCTCCTGACTGGCAGTTGAGCACTATAATTGTATTGTGTATCTACAACATTACTTTTGTTTCTTTGGATTGTCCTCAGACATAAAACCCCAAAATATGGATCTAAATGAAGTCAAGACCAACTACTCATTAAAAAATATCCCAATTCCTGACACACATGAATACATAATTACCATGCTAAACAAAATAGTCATTTTCATGTAGCATGAGATGGGAAGCCTTTTCTGCTTTAATATTGCAAAAAACAATACAGACACTGATATACCCTTGTTCAAAACTGCTATGAGAGAACTGTCAGAGTTTGAGAAAGATCTTATAGGCATTTTAAATAAAATAAGGTTTAAAAAACAAGAATATCTTTCAGAAGAAATTATTAATGGATATTGGAGAGCTAAAAAAAAAAAAAAAAAAAAAAAAGTGAAGAAAATTTTTGTTATGGCTGATAAAATGAAAAAAAATTATATACAATGAGCCCTAGAGTGTACAGAACAAGAGTTTCAGAGGAAGTAACTAAATTCTACAAAAAAGTTCCTGCTTCTTACATGGATGATATTAACACAGAATCTAAAGAAATCTCCATAATGTTTGGCATTAGCAATCAAGTCAGGATATTGGCCAAAAAGCAAGCCATCTTGACAGTAAAAGACCATAAGGAAGACTTCCTCAACAGCCAATCATTCTGTTTAATACACCCGACAAAGACAGGGTTCGGTACTATAAGCCATAAATGTAATGGACACCTGCAAGCTATTCAGGGTGGCTATGCAAGTCAACCAGTGAAAGAGCACTTCCGACTGCATTTCCTGGTTTAATAACATTCCAAACAAGAATAATCAGGTGTTTATCAAATACGACATCAAGGATTTCTATCAATCTATACTAGAAAAAATTTATCGGAAGCTTTGATGTTTGCCAAGAACTTTGTATGTTTAAAGGCTAAACAGATTAAAATCATTCTACATTGCCGTAAGTCAGTATTATTTTATGGTGTTGAAACATGGATTAAGAAATTCAAAGCTAGTAACTTTGATGTCCCCCAAGGATCATTCAACAGGGCAGAGGTGTCTGAACTGATGGAAAACTACATTCTAAGCAAAATAAATAAAATTGTCCACATTGATGACCATGGAATATACCATGATGATGGACTGATAGTGGTACCAGATAATAAAAAAAGGAAGAGCTTCAGAAAAAACTACACAAGATGTTTAAAGAGCTGGATTTCAACATCACAGTAGAAATCAACTGGAAAGTAGTCCCGTTTTTAGACAGAGTTAAACCTGTTGACTGAAACCATTTCACTTTTTATGAAACCTAATACAGCTTTGAGATACGTAAATATGGCATCCAACCTTCCATCAAGTATGATTAGACATATCCCATTAGGCGTGCAATGTAAATTATCAAAAAATTCTTCTAATGAAGAAAAATTCAACAAGTATCTGCTTTAAAAAAAGAGGGGTATAAAATCAACCTGTGTTTTTAAAGACCAAGCAGACCCAAGAACAGATGACAATAGAAAAGAAAAAGGAATTTTTAACTGGTTCAACCCACCCTTCAACATGCAAAAACAAACATAGGGAAAATGTTTTTTAGCCTTCTAAATAGGCACTTACCGAAAGTGTCCGAGCTAAACAAATTATTTAACCATAATACAGTAAAGTTGAGCTAAAGTTGCACTGGCAACCTAAGCAGTGTTATCAAAAGATTGAAAAAAAGAAATTCAAATTTTGAAGAGGATGTGAGAAGGGGAAAGAAGGTTCTTTGTAATTGCAGAAGAAAGAATAATTGTCCCTTAAATAGAGTATGTTGGACAGAAAGGGTAGCGTATTGCGTTGAGGCAGAAAATGACAATGGCAGTGCAAAGACATACATTGATTTCACTGAGGGCCAATTTAAAAAGAGATGGTAAAATCATACCTTGTCATTTAGAATACCTGAACATAAGTTCAAGATGAAGTTAGCAAAGAAAAAAAAAAAAAAATGAAAGAAGCCTAGTCGTTAAGTAGACCTTTTTTATGAAAGGTAAAAGCTGGTAAAGTGAATGGCATCTCCTGTAAGCCATGTAAGAAGATGGCTATTGTAACATACAAGGGTGTCGCTGAGCTGTATAATAGGAGGTTAACATTGGGATTGTGTGAGCCAGGATGACGTGGGAGAAATAAATTTTGTTTTTCTACCCCACCCCTCAATACTCCCGGTGCCGCATTAAGAAATTTAAGTAATTGTGTTGTTTCTCATTAGTTTGCTGAGTTAACCACCTGATGAGACCTCGGCAGTCAAAACGCTCCAGTAAGTGTTTTAATCTTTTTAAGATATTAAATGGCTCTACAGGTTTGACTTTTCTTACTTGAAATTGAGCACTTTTTTAATGCATACAATTTTAAAACTACTATTTTAGTGTTTGTTTATTCCGGTGCATCTTTGGCTACTGACTGGCAGTTGAGCACTATAATTTTGCATGTGTGTGTGTGTGTATATATATATATATATATATATATATATATATATATATATATATATACACACATGTATCAGTCTGGAGAGGGATGATCCCAGCATGTGGCACTTTTGGAGAGTGCCTGAAAACCATGCTACAGGTTGACCCAAGCCTTGTGAGTGAAATTTGGGTAGCCGGAACAATTGTTGGACCACCAATAGCTGTGCTAGAACAAAGTTACAAGTCATCGTGACCGAGGGTTTGAGTGTGTTGGCTTTGTTCAGATTGTTGATCACACGAGATAACGTGTCCTCCCAGAAACTGTAACTAAGGTCTGCTCAGCATAGTTGTAGTATAAACCACAGGTGGGCTCTGTGCATGTTGAACAAACACAAATGTGCCTGAGCAAGCGTCTGAATTAGGGAATTAGTAGATGTGTATCCTCAAATACGAGGGCTCAGCTGTTTATTTATATATCACACACACAAACCAAAATTTGTACAAATAATTATTTTGTAGGTTCTGAATGATTGTAGCAACAATGCAGAACAAAGCAGATGAAGCTTGTATAGTTGAAGTTACAAAAATATTGACATTTTATGTTTATATAATTATATCATTCCATTTCCCTTTATATCTTGACAGACACTTTGTTTTCAACATTTCACTATTTTTTTTATTTATAGGATCATAAGTAAAATATCACTCACTTACAAATGTTATAGGAAAGAAATCCTGAATCTCATGGCTTTGTGAGTCACTGGGACTTAAAAAAAAAAAAAAAAAAAAAAAGACAAGGAAGAAGTGTTAAAATCACAACATAAATCAATTGAATGAATGTAAAAGGAAGCAACCTCAAAAGATCTCTCTTGCTTTTTTCTTTACACTCAATTTCATGTGTTTTTTTTTTTTTTTTTTTTTATTATCTTTATCCACTATATCAATCTATTATAAAAACAGTTACTTGTTGCATCTTCATTTCTGTTCTTGTTATATAGTTATTAGTGTTATATATGTAGAGACGGCTGTAATGGACCAAACATCACAGGTTTCCCATGAATATATTTGCAGCTGCTTCATACTGTAACAAAAACTAGTTACTTGAATCATAACTCCTATTTTCCACTATGTGTCTCTCACAATAACTGTCTTGACTACCTAAATTGACCCTCCATCACTCAAACTGCCCAAACACTCAATGCAGCTGAACAAAAATAGCAGTAAATAATATGATAGTAACTGTGAGAGTAGTCTTCTTTCAACAGATTCTTAAAAAAAAAAAACAACAGATGTCTGTTATCTTACATAAATAAAAAATTCAACAGATTAATTTGTTAGGTTAAACACAGCAGAAAAGAAAAACATCAAAAGTTGCAATTGAAGAGAACAAGAAATAAAATCAATATTGAAGGATACGCAAGAACACAAATGATAAGAATTGGTCTGGATAGAGGAAATGGTTTCAGGTAGTCCCAGACGAGGGCAAACATGGCAAAAGCTACAGCAATTGTGCAAATGATGAGACGTCCATCCATCAAATGATGACTTTCTATAAAACCCATTTTATCCACAAGGACCTGGTAAACAAAAACAAAATCATTCTACAGAACAGGAAGCAATTTTAGATAAGACACAAAGTTTAAATTTTTTTTTTTTTTTTGGTAAGAACCGGTTTATACAGAGTAGAGAGTTCTTACTGTGGAGTGATAAATAGTAAAGTCTTGCAGATCAATTTGCTTGTCTAACAAGTTCAGTCCCCAGTATGTATATTACACTTAAGTATAAGACCATTTTTATGAATTTACAATTCATTCTATTTTAGGTGACAAGTCATTAATCTTAAGTAATTTCTCTTTGATTGGGTGTAAATTAGTAGACTGTTTTGTTTTTAACCAATGAATTTCTCTAGTTTCCTGAGCAAATAAGAAATACTATCATAAAATAAAGTTGGATGTTCATATGTGTTAATGGTTAGTGGCTTGTCATGAAAAATTTCAGTTCATTACATTCACTTTCATGCAATCTTGGAAAAGGCACAAATCCAGTTCTTTCTCTAGCTATGGATTTAATAGTAGAACAGACTGGGCTCTATCTTAATCCTTGGTTGTCAACCAGTCTAAGAGAAAGACAACTCAGAATTCAAAACTGGTTCAGCAGGTGGCTAGCAACTATGTTGTGAAAACCTACTTGCTATAGAAATGACAGCAGCAATATCTAGCATGTTCTACATTTGGAGTGTACTGGACTTGAGAGATTATAAAGTCAACAATTTTAAATGAAATTTACCAAGATAAAACAAGAAAATACTAATGATCAGAAACACTAAATGACTGACAGCAGCAAAAACAATAATGATGTGGCCATTATTAAAGTTGTACTAGCATAAAACCAGTTTAAAAAAAAAAAAAAAAAAAAAAAAAAAAAAAAGACATTTATGAATGGATTCACACTTCTGCCTGAGATCAGAGTATAGCATCTGTGTACTCGGAAAAATGTTACACATAAGCTTATAGATATGCATTTCATATATGTGGAATTTTTGCTTGCCTCATTTTTTGGCTTTCCTTTTGTCAGCTTTTATAAAGTAATTCATATTAGAAGAGAATCAAGAGAAAGCTACATTTCAATTTTAACTAAAAACAATAAGTGAGCAAAAACAAATATTTACATTTTTTTTTATTGTTGATATTTTAATTGTATCATTTTTTTTTCTTTGAAAGATGTTAATTTTTACTGCAAGTGATATATGTGTAAGAGTCAATAAAAGTTGTCTTTACCTGTTTTTTTATAAGATAACTGACATTTCACCAGACAGACAGACACACAGCTATGATTAGATTGACAAACCATTCCTAAACATTGTAAGCTGTTTTGCTGGCAAATGTAATGGAGTATTTTTTTGGTATCTCAAAAAATGTCTTTGCTTGAAATTTATACATAAAAACAAAGGAATACTTTTGTTAATGTTATTTTTAACATTAGTCTGTTTGGAAAATAATGACGTTTTACCAGAAAGGATATAAAAACAAATGTAAGTTAAATTTATTTAAATATTATTCATCGAAAATGCAATCACCTTCGCTTCAACGATGGCCAACGAGTATTATAGTAGGCTGTGCTTCAATGAATACAGCTCAACAGAAAGGTAAATTTTATTTCTATTCCTTGTTTAAAGAAATGCGTGTTTTTCCTCAAAGACTAAAGTTCTTTTTTTCTGAAAGTTTTGCTACTTATGAAATGTTCTAGTGATTGCAACAAAAATCTGTAGGTGTTAAATCTGGGGAATCTTATTATAAAACGGAGATTGTGTGTGTGTGTGTGTGTGTACACGTTTATATATTGGATCAGATTTCCTACATTTTTCAGCCAATTTCAACAAAACTTCACAGGACTATGTAAAATTACTTTGCGGTGGTTCTGACAGTGCCAAAAATTGGAAAATCACAATTGTTTTTGCACGAAATCAATTTGAAAACATGATAAAACACTATTCTGTCACCAGAATGAAAGGGGGACAACTCATATCGAGTTATACTTATTATAAAACCCAGGTTGTTTGGGTGTGTGTGTGTGTGTGTGTGTGTGTGTGTGTGTCCTTTATATATGGGATCGGATTTCCTACATTTTTCAACCGATTTCAACAAAACTTCACTTTTTTTTGGCAGGTAGTGTTTCTTATTGTATTGCACACTTTTTTCTTTATTTTTACATTCAGAATGCTTTAAAAATTCCATTTACAAGACAATTGTTTATAATAAAATTCTATTCAGTCGGTAGACTCACAACGATTCAAAACAATGTTTTTGTTCGAGTTTGACCAATTCGTAAAAAAAAAAAAAAAACTAATTAAGACATGCGTGTCCGTCAACCTTAAAGAATAATCTTTGTCAATTTTATTTTTCAGTCTTTATAATGGTTGATATTTGATCTATCTCTTACTGTTACATCCCCGGGCAACACTGGGCTCTACTGCTAGTAAAGATATAAAAGAACATCCTAATGATCTGGGATTTTTTCGCATCTCTTTTTGACGAATGTGATTATGCATTCTCATGCTAGAGAATAACACCTTTTCTGTTTATTGAAGCAGAATACTTTTGATGTAATGCTTCGTTTATCAAATGCTGACAATAAACATCTGCAGTGATGGTAGACTGCTTTCACATTCCACCAGACACAAAGCAAGGATTTCTGTAGATGGAGTCCAAATTCATACTTTTCAAGATTTCTCCAATTTGCTTGAGATGTTCATGGGAAGTTGCACATTACACATTAAGTTTTTGTGCCAAATCTCTGGTGCTTTGATGTGGATCCAATTGTCCTTTTCAAAAGTTCATCATTCAGTGTAGATTGTCTTCCAGAGAGAGCCTTTCACATAACTCACAATCAATATTTATAAACCATAAATCACAGCTGACATATACAAGCCTTCACTGGGGCACTTCGACAGAGGTGTAATGGTTACCAAACTTGTCTTGCTAGATCAATTACGACTGAGTAGTGATTTTAATACTCACTGGATGCACCATACTTTTGGCCTTGTGCCACACCTGAGCTATGCTTAGAAAATCTCTATACAAGCCTTCACTGTATCAATATACACTGCACCAATGTTTTTAAATGCCTTTGTATCAGTAATCAGTCAGTTAAGTGCCACGCATGATATACACGTAGGCATTCATGTATCTTTCAATACATGACTGACGAGGCAGATTTTTTTCCTGCAGTAGGTTGTCATTTCTTTCTGCGATAGATTAGTTGCCATCCAAGGCTATAGAACCCAGTCTGTCCTGTTTACCCATAGCTGGGGGAAAAGAAGAGGATCCCTACCTTTCCCAAGGGTATTAGCACATAAGTGAATGTAATGGACTCGCCTAGAATTCGAACTCTGCTCAAAGGTTCCTCAATCCAAGCCATTATCCATTACTTTTCCATACCTCCATATCAGTAATACACTTTCAGAATTCATATAGTAAGCAATGGTAAATATATTGCCTTTTAAAGTTATAGTCTTGCATGGGTTTAAACTCTGAAATGCGCTATAAAGGACATATTGTCAGATAGAAGAGATGATAATTCTAGATACAGTTTTACGACCCTTGAACCTGGTTTCTGTCTTGGCTGCTTGATGCAGATTTCATAATGGTGAAGTACATAATTACCAAATATACTAATATTTTTTTATTCTTACAAATAAACATTTGAAGTTTTCACTACCATTTGTTTACAGCATTCACCATTTTCCAGAAATTTATATTAGCAAAGTTAAATTCCACTTAGAAAAATGAATAATACCTTTTTGGCAGAATCATCCAATGAATTTTTTAAGGCCGTACCATCCCATTTATCTACCTTCACAGGTTTGTCATCAATCGACCACTGGAAAAAAGTAAATCAATAAGTGAACAAAATATGGATACATTTGAAAGATTGTGATTAATGCGAATGAAATCTTTCAGACTTGGTGAAAGTTTGTATTTTTCTATAATTTGTATATATATATATAAAAAAAAAAAACAAACAAACAAAAAAAAAAACCCAAAAATCTCTGGTCTAGAATAAAAACAGCTTTCACTGTGATAAAATATTTCATTTCCTTATATTTTGAGTAGATATGATTTGTTTTATTTATGAGTTGTTAAAGTTCTCTGAAAAGGAAAATTATTAAGTGCATGAACACTAAAGAAATAAAACCACTTCTCTCCCAAATTCTTTTCTACAGAGCAAATTGTTAAACTTAGAATGAATATTTATAAACAGAATTTTTTTAAAGTATATTTCAAAACATTGTAAATTACCAAAGTAATTGTATATCATGTAACATGTTTAGAAATGACTGAGAATAGAAAGACAAAACTGAAGTTGGTGAGCAATACATAAGGAAAATTTTATAAATTCTAAGACGATTAGCACAAAAAGAACTTTGAATTAAATTATTTTAAATTGTAACAAACAAATTCCTAATAAGATGAATGATATGAAATGCCGATTTAGGATCGTCAACAGAAGAAAGACCAAAAGGTCCATTCAGACAGATGCGTTATGCAGTGTTACTTATTTATGATTGTGCTTGGCCTGAAAATGGAACTTATTAACAGGACATTTGTTGTCATTACTAAATGATGAACATTGATGTGGTTAGCTTTTTTAAAATAAAATTCTAACAAAAGAAGAAGCAATGCTCATCCTCTGAACAATGACTCTTGTCTTACAACTGTACTAGTATTTGTGTTAATAACTTAATGTTTTGCAGACAGATAGCACATTTTCAGTTTGGACCCGTATATCTAATATCAGGTCAGGAAGAAAGCCTGTGATTTCTAACATTTGCAAGTGATTTTTTTTTTTAACCTTACCCAAAATACTTTTCAACTGATGATTGTGGTCTGGCTTAGGAATGTATAAAATTATTTTCTGGCCCTACTTGACAAGTGTACTGATCCTGTTGGAGCATGTCAACTCAGGTTATACTTAGTCCTACTCATTCATTGTATTAAGGATTAATTTATTCAGTACAGTTATCATCAAGCAAGACATCAGTGATCCTGCTGGAAAAAAAGCTATGCAACTACAACAAACATACCATATGTAGGGGGTTGTATAAAGTTGATGCCCCCTCCCTCCAAAAAAACTGTTAAAGAGAGAGGGGAATCAAAAGCAAAATTAAAAAATATATTACCATAAAATGGTAATACCAAAATATAAGAGAGAAAAAAAAAGTTAACCCATTTTATCGATCCTCTCATCAGAACAAAGAAAAATATTCGCAGCAATTAAAAAAAATATCACAATGAAATGTTATATACACAAAAATATATAACATTTAATGACTAATTATCTTTAAGCTCACCAACCACTCCTGTTTACAGAGAGATGGCTGGTAGGATGATGTACAATGATTCCAAAACTTTCAAGTGATACTAAGCAGGACTAACTTTGCACCTCTACGAAAATATAGTTTATGAACATCAAATCTTAAATGAAAGAAGCCCACTTTGAAAATACTGATTCCCTTATGAATGTGTATATATAAAGGAGGAAACTTAGCACTCGTTAACTTTTCTAAAAGAAATAATTTCATTCAACTCTCCTAATCTTCATTTCAGACAGCAAAGAATTCAGAAAGAATAGAATGTTGACTCATCGAGTTTCAATGTTAAATCAGCATCCACTGGCAACTTTGAAAAATAAAATAACATTCTCATTTACCAACAAATCTTTGGTATCCTGACTTCATAAATTTATAGACACTACTAGATTGGCAGCTGGGTTTCAATATTTTACTGTTAAAAATACCTAAGTGTGAGCATAAGTTCTATGCTAATGGTTTCTTCTCATGCACTTCTTGCTTCCAACTACAATCTTCAAATATTTAAATGCAACATCAATCTTCATCTTATGTCTCCTTGAATCCCATTCTTCTTATTGTCCTTTCTCCTCAGTAACATTTTCTCAGATTCTTTCACTCTCATTAACTCCTTGCATCTTAGTGGCTTTATCACCTTGCTTTGGGTGAAATGATTAAAAAAAAAAAAAAACTTTTCAAAAAAATAAAAGCAAGCCAGATTAACAGTTACCTATATATGTTATGCATATCCTGAGCATAAATGCTTTGTCTCACATTAAAAACCTTAAATTTTATTATTTTTATATATGCCACTGAATTATGTTATTTTTAGTGGAACCTAAAGTAGGGATAGCATAGTTTTACAGACATGTTGGGATGAACGAGTGGAGAGAGAATCAAAAAGTTCAGGGGGAGAAGAATCAAAATGGGGTTAAAAATCTAAGTTGGATCAATTATATACACTCCTTGCATATGCAAGACATACAGCTGACCAGGTAACAAGGATTTATGAACACATCAGAACTGTTTTCTCAAAACAATCATTCTTTAAAACCAGTTTATGAGTGTTGATCCATTGTAAGAGAATAGTTTGACAAAAGATTGCTTTTATAAAATCCCATGAAAAAGTAGAAAAAAAATTAATGGAAAAATCAGCTATCTTCTTAAAGCCAAACTCAAGAAACATAAGCAAATCACAGTCAAAAGAGGACATTAAAAAAAATGCTATGACAGACCATATTTGGAGAGAGAAAAGCACACATTACTCTTGGGTGAAGTTCAGATAACTGACAGAATACTGCTTGAAAGTAAAAAAAGTAATGTACATAAGCTTATTGGCTAGTTGTGTTCTTGATTTAAAAAATTTGTCACACAGTAAGTAGATTAAATCCAACTGATATTTTTCTGACACTTACTCTGCAAATTAAATAGATAATTAGTGCCCAGATGTTAAGTTGGCAGGCTGGATGTGGTTTGGAGGCAGGGGGTGGCCGACCCTTGCCCTAATAGAGTCTATATTTCTGAGATGTACATTATTTACATTACTCGGACTATTGTCCTCATCTTTGTCGCCATATTTATCACAACGTTTCGGCCATTGTATGCTCCGGCCTTCTTCAGGTGGTTGGAATTTCAAACTGAACCCTTTAATTCGCTCACTGGGGTAGACTGTTCTAGTTCCACGTGCCATGTTTGATGGATGTCAGTTATCAGTTATCTCCTGCTAATTTTCCCTCTGAAAGTTCTCCACTGCCTTAACTCACACTCTTTGGGTCCTGTCACTGGATCTAACCAACACCTTTATCCACTGTGCCATGTGTCCTTGTAGAACAGTCTACCCCAGTGATCGAAATAAAGGGTTCAGTTCGAAATTCCAACCATCTGAAGAAGGCCAGAGCATACAACGGCCAAAACGTTGTGATAATTATGTCCTTGCCCTAATGTCTGCAATAATATGCTAAAAATAAAACTGGGAATTTTGTGAATCTAAACCCCTATGCAAATATATATATAGGTTCCCATATTTAAAACAGGCCTTGTACTACTTTTTTTCAGTGTAAAAAACTGAATAAATGTCAAGGCCTGCTCTCTCTGTTTACAAATTAAACATCTGACGACAGTTGTAGCATAAATTGGCTGAAGTTTTTGGATATTGTTTGAAAAAATTTGGAATGCTAATGACATTTCAAGTTATAGATATTAAGGCAATTTTTTTTCAGTAGTTTTGTATTTTAAATTAAGTTTTATTTTTTTAATTTAATGCATTTATCTATTTTCACACTGAAAAAATTAATTTTGAATTTAAAGTAAACCCATTAAATGACATATGAAGTTTCTTGAAAATATTTAAAAGATTAAATAGGAATTAACATTGAATAATTTTTAATATTTCAGTTACTTAATTGCCATCTTTTTAAGCAATTGTAACTTTGACAAAACTGGTCAGAAAGATTCAAATCAATAAATACCATAAAATTTAAGGATTTTCAGAAATTACTTTACAATTTCTAATTTGTAAGAAAATATGTGATGAAATTTTAAAAGATATGGCTTGTAAAAACTTGCAACATATTCTGAAATGAGCAGTTTACAGGATATTTGCTCAAGAGGATCAATTCAAGCATGTTTGTATGGATTCCCTCTAAAAAGTGAATAAAATTAATGACAAGGATAAAATGCTCCTCCCTCAGACTTATAGACTACTGATTCATTCAACTATCACCTTACTTAAAAAAAAAATTTTTTTTTTTTTTAGTAATCTTTAAAATAAAGACCCAAATAGCTTATTTGCTGTATTTCACTCAAGTTAATTCTTCACATCTATAGGCATGGTTGAACTGAAAGTGAAAAGATAGACATTTATTAACATTTTGGATAAATTTTTCAAAATTTGCACAAATAACCAGGTTAAAATATATGGTGCAACATTTTCTTAATTCTGCAGAACAAGATTTATAAAAATAACTACCAAGTCTTGATGTATGTAATGTAAAATATTCCAATTCCATTGACTAAGTTTATAAAAACTTGATAATTTGTTGAATGATTAATTTATGTCAAATGAAAAATTGTAACATTATATATAACATTTAGTCTAAATTTTTGAATTTTGATATGAATAAAGTTTTTTTATCATACACTCTAGTCTAGCTAGACTATTGCATTGTACTGGACAATAGCCTAGTCACTGAACAGTACTTTAATCCACTAGGCTCTAGTGGATAAAATTTAATGTTCTAATCCCCTGTCAGAGTTGTACAGATTCAAAAGAAGTGAAAACACAGCAAATAGTACTGGAAAAAAAAAAAAAAAAAAACAAGACAAACTCAAGCTGTGAACAATGGAATGAGAACAATCTATTAATAAAATGAAAGATTAAATTAAGGATTCAGTTTGAAATTCCCTGAAGAAGACTAGAACATATAAAGGTTAAAATGTTGTGATAATAACAAACATGAGGATATCATTCCAAATGCAAATAGCTTTTCAGTTTTTAATAACAATTATTAAAAGTTTTTCCCAACTAATTTGATATACGTAAGGTTTAAAATAAATTTTTGAAAGAGAAAAACCGATTTTGAAGCTTTCATTTTATCTTTAATTGAAAGCTAAAAGGATTTCCAATTTACTATTTCCAATAAGCAAAATACTCTGGCATATTTCAAACAGAAATTATATTGATTGGAATTAATTTTTTTTCAGTAAAATCGATAAAATGGCCATTTTGACACATTTGTAAACAAATTAATTCTCAGTTTTAAAAATCTTGCAAAAATAAAATGTATATTTCTGAAATGTTATTTGAGGAAAATTAGCAAATTTAAAGTTAAATAAATCTGATTTGAAACAAATATTACTTGTTTATAGCATAAAATATTGCATACAAGCATTTCTTAACCACGAGGTCTAGTGTTTCTTATGCGTTAATCAATTTATTGACAACTGAATGACAGCCGAATATGTTCATAGTTAAGTATGGTGGAGCAGACAAAGTCTATATGAGGTTTTTTCTCTTTGTAATGGGGGACAACCCTTAAAACACGTGACCTTTAAATGATAATGCTATAGGTTTGAACACCCATACTTCAAAAATTCTGCACGTATACACATACAAAAACAAATCGAATTTTTAAAAATATATTCAGGGTCGTCAGCTTGTAATAAACTTTATGGTTAAAACAAGTCTTGTAAAAAGTCATTTTTGTTCCGAGCATATTGTCTGTTATATATTCATAAAAGCAATTAAAAGCTTCTCTAATTAAATAATGGCTTATTTTAATTGCATTACTTTCCGATTCAGAACAGATTTTTGATAAGACGGAGTCTGATTTTGCAAAAAAAAAAAAAAAAAAAAAAAAATCAATCAGTGATTTAAATTCGTCAAAGAATTCTGCTTTTATACTCACTACAAATGATCACGTTGAATATAAGTTTTCAAAATAAAGGGTGAAACACACGTAAAAAATATATTTACCAACATTTTAGGAAAAATAATTTAATTCACTTAAATCTTGAAAATTTCATTAAAATCCGGCAATTATTTGATTTTTGCAAGAATTTACAAATTCTGTCACCGCCAAAAAAAAATTGCTAAAAGTCTAGAAGTTAAAGACGCAAGAAAAACAATTTTTTTTTAATCAAAATTTCGAATATTCTAAAAAGGAGTAAATAATTTAATTAGATATTTGACGATAAAACTAAGTTTTTTTTTTGTTTTTTTTTGGGGGGGGGAGCATGTCCATCAAGGTATGCTGTGTTTTTTTTTTTTTTTAGCAATTTCGTGGATAAAAAAAAAATGTACTTTTTTTGATTTCTGGAACTTAACATTTTTAAATAAAATTCATCAAAGGAATTTACAACAAAATTTTTTTTTTAATTGAAATCACCCCAAACAAGGCAGTATGCCACTAAAACAGAAGGTGTGTGGAAGAAATATAAAATTTTATGTTAGGCAATTTAATTTTCATTGATTGCTCCATTAAAAAAAGGGTCTACTTTTTGTAATTGAATCAAAGATCTATGTTTAAATATTGTGATTTCTATGGAAGTATTTTTTTTGTAACACTTCTTGCAAAGTTTGATGAGGATATTAATTGAAATTTACCACCTTGTACATTTGCTTTGTTATTAAAATTTGATTATAGAAAATAATTTCGATAAATTTTTATTCATATTATCAACCCATTGTATAAGAGATATGGTTAAGCAAAACGAAAAAACATAACCATATGGATATAAAAATTAAAGGCTAACATCGGACCTTCTGTTATTGAGCAGTTATTAGACATGCTATTTTGTTTTTAATATTTTGCCTTTTTGATGCAAGAACGTAATAGTAATGTAGTAAGTTATATTTTAGAATTTATTTGATTTTCATTTTACACACCTTTTTACCGGATAAAATAGAATAAAACTTTTAAGCCTTTTAAAAAAAAACTAAAACAGTTCCGTTTTACAACTAGTGTAGTAAAGTCATTACAAAAGCGCAATTATATATATATATATATTTTTTTATCTACTAAAAAGTCCCCGCCGGGTAGTGAAAGAAAACTAAAAGGGTGGATGAAATTGAAATTTCATGGTGTTCTTGATTTGACTGTTTAGTTGAGAAATCAACGTTGCGATAAGAATTTATCTGAAGAATTTGGAATTTATTATAAGTTTATTTAACGTATTAATAAACAACAAACATAGGTAGGAAACTAAAATGCGAAATGAGAGAACCATAAACAAAACAAAAAGGGTAATAATACCAGAGCAAAATATAAGACCAAAAAAGAAAGTGTTAGTGAATTTTTAAACTAAGGAGAAAACAGAAAGGGTTTTTTTTAATGAAAATGCAGGAAATTTTGCTTTGGTACAATATTTTAAATTTGTATTGAACAAAAAAAAATATAAGTAATTTCAGCTTTTGCTTTTCAAATATTTTTATAAGATGAACGATGCACTTTCCTTTTGAAACGTTAATTGAAATTAACAACAAACAAGCATTTTTTTTTTAAAGAAACGAGGCATATGGAAAACCGAATCTGAATACTACTTGAAGAGAAATTTTAGTTCTAGCTTTAAGCACTGAATGAAAGTAACAAATTCGTCTATAAGGATCTACTTACTTTGTAAAGCACGTTCCTACTAGACATTTTCTTTTCTTTTTTTCCAAATCAGCAGCAAAAATATGAAAAAAAAACCTAAAATTTTCTGCAAAATGTTGGTAAGAACAGTTTAACTACCGGAAGTCCACGTTCTATATGAAAACGAGGCTACTTCCGGAATTTTTATCACTTCCGTTGTCAATGCAAACGAAAAACTTATCGCCATAGAAGCAACCGACTGAGAGATTTTATTTTCCTCTCCGGTAAATGAATTACTTAAATAATCTATTTTTTTATTCCAATTTCTTATATATTTTCTTCACTAAAAAATAACATTGGTTTCTTTTGTCTAACGATAGTTTCACGATAGTGATTTGTTTAAATTGTTGGTAACCATAGACGCCAAAAACTTCCGGAAAACTTTACTTTTATTTTTTAAATCAACATTGCTTTAAAAAATTCAATATTCGAAAAGATTTCCATGAAATCCTTTTTGAACATTTATTCTTTGAGATTAGAGTTTATTTTACTATTTTTTATTTCTACACTTTAATGACAAAAGTTTGTTATATACCGTGTGAAGAGATGTTTTTTTTTTATATTTTATTGATTTATTTGTCAGTCAATATTTTTTTCTTTTTAAATTTATTTGCTCATTTGAAATGATGAAAATAAATAAAAATCGGTACATTCTACAAAAAAATGAAACATGCAAGAGACCTTATTTCACCACGTTCTTATTGTTTTAAAAACGTATATTTTTTGTATTTAAATGAAAAAGAACTTCCACTTTATATTTTTAGATAGTTTTGAGATAAAACTAAAAAGTATCATGATAAGTTAAAAACTAGGTTTCAAATAAAATCTATCAGTGATGATTTTGTTTTGTTTTTTAATGAAATAAATAAATTTTATTTCTGTAACTTTTCTCACCTATCCAACATCCTTTCTAAAAATGAGAAAAATGATTTTATTTTTAAAGATGAATCTGTTAAAACTTTTTAGAGTTGAACAAAAAATTATTAAAACTGAAAGCACTTATTTAAACTTTTCAATTTGGAATATTAGTATTCTGCTACTAAAAAAAAAAAAGAAAAACGAAAACAAAAATCAGTTATGGTATTTCTGGATAAATTTTTAATTTGATTCAATCTTATCAAATCATGAAATGAATGTTGTCTTGAATGACCACTCATCTAGATCTTTTTTACATTAATGTGGATGTCCTCCAGTGCTCTATGACTGAACCAACTTTGTTCTTAGTTTTCATCAACAAATTTCTCAATATCATTAGTTCTCAACTTGATATCTATGCTGATGAGACTCCTGTGGACTCTTCTAAATTCTAACCTTCTCTAACCTTAAAAAGCACAGTTCATCATAAGCCTACGTACAGAAAAACCTCAACCAATAGAAATGGCAAGAATCGAACCAAGCAATTCCATTGGTTTCGTCTTCTGAAACAAGAATTTTTTCAGTGTTATATAAAGGAAAGGCAGACAGCCCCTTTCAGTTTTTAATTTTTGTAACATTTCAACTCCGTCTTAGTCGCCGCTGACCAGACGATAAAGAAAATTGTATTTATTTGATGAAAATAGCAAACAACGACAAAGACATCAAACATTCCAGCAACACATACAATTTCTTTTTAATACACATATTGTTCCAGTTTGTAAATGTTTAAGTGTATATAAATGCTTTATCGTTTTGATCTATATGTCTCGCTTTTTTTTTTTCCTTGTTTGAAATCTCACGCTTGTTTGTATATTTGTTTGGGACACGTTGATCAACCGATAATAAAAATCCTTCTGATAAATTCCCAACAAAAAATTGAACCCGACGTCGAACAAAAATAAACGTCCCAACAAAAATGGTGACCCAGGCGTGAATTCTTAACGAAAATGATTTTAAAAATGGTGAATCGGCGTGCGTTAGTGAACCCGACGTGCGAATTAAAAACGGATCCAGAACGTGAATTGAACCCACTCACAAAAAAAAAAAAAAATAACCATGCCAACTAAAATATTTTAAAATAAAACTCATCGCCAACAAAAAATTTTGGTGACTCATACAAAATGGTCATTAATCCACACATTATTACACCAGTTTGAAAATGATCAATTTTTTGTATTGTTTCTGATACGTTTAACAACTTTACCAACAAAATGGATAAGTTGAACACCACAACATAAAATTAAAATGTAAATGGCTACCACCGACGTTTGCTTTTCAAAATGCACCAATCTTCATGACTTTTTCAAAATTTGATGAATCTATTAAATTTTACAACCATGAGTTGAACATATTTAAGTCTTCTTGCCTTTTCCTCGTTTTTTTCACGAGAACAAACTGTTCCAAAATCACTTCATTTTGACAAAGATTGTATAATCACAAACAAAGCAAATCTTTTTTTTTCAATATTCGATTGAGTAAAACTAGCTACTCAACCAACCGTCTCGACTCATCCGGCGAATATATATTTCTCGACACAATCAGGCACATTTTAAACATAAACTCTGACGTCACATTCATGGTTGACAAACACACAATGGCGGCGATTTTTCTCAACACACGTGGACAGTACTTTTTACATATTAAAAGTTCCTGCGATTTTAATCTGGGGATATTGTGGATCTTCTAGTATTCTAAAACCTTAAAAGGAATGTTGTCAGACAGAAAAACCTCAACCAATGACCAACCAAGCAATCTGGTCAATCGTCTTCTGAAACAAGAATTTTTTTAAAACCCAAGTGTTATATAAAGGAAAAGGCAGACAGCCCCTTTCAGTGGAAGCGAGCAGCATTTAATTACCAACCTTCAAGATGTAACATTTCACCGACTGTCTTAGTCATCGCTGACCAGACGATAAAGAAAATTACCAACACTCTTTTCAATGAATATTATCAACAAATTTGATACAAACAAGAAAATATCAAACATAACGACACAGAGACATCAAACATTCCAGCAACATACATACAATTTACGACGCATTAATCACATATTGTTCTAAATGTTTAAGTGTATATAAATGCTTTATCGTTTTGATCTATATATGTCTCGTTTTTTTTCCTTGTTTGAAATCTCACGCTTGTTTGTATATTTGTTTGGGACACGGTTGACACGCAACCGATAATAACAAAAAATCCTTCTGATAAATCCTGACCCAAAAGTCCCAACACTCCTGTCTAAATGGTAAGTCTGATATAGTCAAATTGGCAGCTGATCTTAAAAATGACCTGCAATCTGTTGTTAACTGTGGCAACAAATGACTTGTCAATTTTAACACCTCTAAAATGAAACTGCTCTCTTAATCACCTTAAGAAACTCTTTTTGCTTTTCATCAGCATGGTTGTTGCTAACATCCAAGAGAGTAACTCATTCTTGGGCTAATATTTTTCACTGACATGAAGTGGAATGATTATAGTGAATCAGTCACTAGGTCTGCTGCAAAGAAAGTCATTTTACCATGTTGTGCTAAAAAACCTTTCTTGCTAGAATCTCTCTTACACCTTTATAATTCTACCATTAATTGATGCATTGTATATTGCTGCCAGATCTGGTTTTGTGCTTCTGCTATATACCTAGTTATTCTTGACAAAATTAAAAGAAGAATCTGCAATGTTATTGATCCTAACTTGGCATCTCAGCTTCAGTCATTTTCTCACCACCCTAATTTTTCTTGCCAGAATTTCTCTTACATCTTTATAATTCTACCATTAATTGATGCATTGTATATTGCTACAAGATCTGGTTTGGTGCTTCTGCTATATACCTAGATATCCTTGACAAAATCAAAAGAAGAATCTGCAATGTTATTGATCCTGATCTGGTAGCTCAGCTTCAGTCACGTTCACAACATCCTAATGTAGTATTCCAGTACCTTCTCTTTGATACCTCAACTTTACAAATTTAAGTTCAGTACTAGATTGGCAACTATGTCTCATGATTTTACAGCTGAAATTGCTAGATGTAACCATAAGGTCTATACTAACAGTTTCTTCTGTTGCACTTCTCACTTGTGGAACTGGCTTCTTGCATTCCAGTAAACTTTGATCTTCAAAGATTTAAATGCAATGTCAATTGTCATCTTCTGTCTTTTTTAATCCTGTTCTTTTATTGTCTTCTCAATGTTTTTTTTTTTCAAATTCTTTCACTCTCAGTAACCCTTTGCATCTTAGTGGCTTTATCACCTTGCTTGGAGTGAAATGATTAAAAGAAAAATTAATTTTTTTTGTAGGTGATTTCTACCTTTCAGTTTCTGTTTGAAAGATATATTGATTGATATATGGAAATATTTTTTCTCAAATATCTAATTTAATTTTAAAAAAAAATGTTATTTGGGTAATTTAAATAATGCTTTACACATTTTGGTCCAAATCTATGAAAACATGTCAAAAGGGCAACTATATATGCACGCAGCCATTCTTTCAATTATTTTTCTATTAGGTGCCTAAAACAATTTTTTTGTATCAAATGTTCCTTAATTGTTTTTGTATCAAATGTTCCTTCAATCAAAAATAAATGAAAAATCTGCAGATGAACAAAATAAAGAAAATCCTTATATGATCTCTTTTTCTGATTCTTTTCCTTTAAAGCAAAACATATCTTATAAGTAAGAAAAAATCATTTTTTTCTTAGTAAAAATAATCATTTAATATTTACTTTTCAGGGATAAGAACATAATTAAAATTTAAAATGGGGGAACAAGTCAAATTTATTGTCCAGGAACTCAATAAAGAACCATTCAAGAAAAATTTGAATTTGATATCATTTGATTCACTTGAACCATTGTCTCTGCTGCAAATTTTAAGTGATGTTCTTGGTGAAATTGATTCCAAGGTAAGTCTTTGTCTTCTTGTGGAATTCTTATTTCAGATAGTTATCAAATTATCTAAGATTGAGATTATCTTATCATAAGGCCTAAATGTACTGAAATGGAGTTGTTTGTTGATGCTACACATATCATTTATGGTAAATATGAAATTGTTATATATGACACATCATTTATTTTTTATTTTGACAGGACAACATTTGAATAAAACTGGGGATTATCACTTGAAAAATTTTAAAACTTATTAACAAGATTATTTCGGAAAACTCTAAATCTGTTAAACTGAAGTCTATAAAAACAAAGTAATGAAGCCAATTTAGAATTCATTTTAACATTCAACTAATTTTATTTTTCCTCTTGTCTATAAGGAATTTATGCTGATGTATCACAATTGGGCTTTTTACTCAGACATACAACAATTCTAGCACTGCTTATTCCTTGATTCAATCTTTCAAATCTAAAAACTCAAATAGCCTATCATTTGTTGTATTTCATACTAGACATGTATTCTATTAATTCAAGACATTTTAGAAATTCTTTTTACTTTCACATAATGTGAAAGTAAAAAGAATTCAATATAATTTTTTTAAAAGTTCGTTTCTGATTTTAAAAAGTTATGTTTAAGCCCTGATCTTCACAAGAGAATTAGCATATTGTATTTTTTAACAGCACAAACTTGACATACGACAAGAAAGTCCAGATCAAACTGCTATTCGTATCGTGAATACTTTGAAAATTTTAAAATACAGACCACCAACAGACAGGGAATCACAGTAAGTACCATTAAATTACTACATCAGTTATATTGAAATTGATTTCCCTCCTTCCAAACTAATTCAATGATTTTTGTTCAAACCTTGTTTAGTGAAAATTCCACATTGGTTCCTGTTAATAATAATGACTAAGTAAACTCTAACCTGATGTCTTTTTTATGTCATAATATATTTAGGAGAAGGAAATGTACCTTTTTAGATCTCACTTGTTAATAGTACTTATCTTGCAGTAGACAATGTTCTAGGATACTAGAGAATATAATTGTGAACATTTGAAAGGGTTGATATCAAATTGCTGGGTAGTAGAAATAATACTTTAAAATATGTCACTATACAAAAGATCATCTCTTAAACTATTATTGGAAGATGTCAGATTATTAAAGAGAATAAGATGACCAAAATTAATTTTGCACACAAAAAGATAAGTTTGGTTTTCTTTAAATTTTGTATGGAATCTGTAGTGATACTAGCAAATTAGTATGCATAATTTGCATAAGCATAAGTGAACATTCATATAATGGGAATAACGAGGTGGTAGTACGAGTCTAGCGGCTGATTAGTGCTAACCTCTGCTTCACAATAATGGCGTCGCCGATAGGATATCAATTGTCTCTGGAAGATCCAGAATTCGTGGATACATGGATTCGTTGTTTCTCTGCCACTGCGAGAACAAAAAAGTTGAAAGACAACAAGGAAAAGTGAGGCGAAAATGAAATCACGGATTTATTTTTGGCTACAGCTGGATGCGAGGTGGTAATGAAAGTCTCCACCATGGCATATCCCTTAAATTTGGAAGACCTGACTTTCGAAAAAATAAGTCAGATTATAAGAAGAAATATGAGACCCAAGAAAAGGCTGGTAGTGGCAGAAAGAACGAAATTCATGTCGATGAAACAAGAAATTGATGAACCAATTATAAAATATTTACACCGTCTACAAAATGCAAGTAGATATTGTGAATTTGAAAAACTTGGACAAGACGAACAGACTATTGAAGAGGACTTGATTCAATTATGACTAATTGAAGGTATGTCCAATGTGTCACACCAATATAAAATAATGGAACAATTACAAATAGGAAATATGTCTTTAAATGCTTGTATTGAATTTATGCAGCAACAAGAACTAATACAGACATACAACCATTATAAAAGTCAACCCAGCGAACAAATATTTGCTGATACGTACATGTTAAAGAAGATAAAAAAGTGTTCATATTGTGGACGTGAACACGAAATGAAAAAAGGAAAAGTGTCCAGCATTTGGAAAAACTTGTAATAATTGCTTAAAAAAGAACCACTTTCAAGCAGTGTGTAAATTAAAAAAGAAAAATGTTGAAAGAATTGAAGAAAACGACACCGATAGGGAAGTTTTTACATTAAAAAATTAGACTTTAAAAAGAATTGAACATAAGAAAAAAGACATTATAGTAAAGGTCAAAATTAATAACTGCAATTTAGATATGCAAATGGATACTGGGAGTGAAGTAACACTGATACAAAAAATTTTTGAGAACACATTGGTAAGTCACCTTTACGAAAAAGCAGTTTACAACTCCACCAATTTGATGGGTCGGTTATAAAAATATTAGGATACTTTGAAGGTTCATTAGAGTTAAAAGAAAAATTTGAAGTAATACCTATAGTTGTTACAAGTTGCAAAAAAAACCACGGGCTTATTGGAAATGCCATGCTTAATATAAATTCTACTAAGTTAATTAATGAAATAAAAATGGAAAAAACTGGAAAGTTAAAAACTATGAAGCAAGTTTAAAAGTAAAAAAAAAATTCCCCCTCTTATTATGAGACACAAAAATTACCAGTACATTTATTGCCATTAGTAGTGACAAAACTACGTAAATTAGTAGAACAAGACCTTCTTGAACATGTTCCACCTGGAGGTAGCAAGTGGACATCACCGATTGTAGTTTTGAGGAAAACAGATGGTGATTTACATATTTGTGGAGATTACAAAATAGGAGTAAATCATAAGATATGCTCGGATTCATATCCCATGCCCAATTACATGCACTGGCAGGGATGTCCGTTTTTTCAAAAATAGATTTAAAAACGGCATATCACCAAATACCAAGAGACGAAAACTTCAAAGAAGTAACCATGATAAATACGCCAATAGGGTTACTAAGATGAAAAAGGATGCCATATGGAATAAAAACCGCAAGCGCCATATTTCAAAGGGCCATTGAACAGGTTTTAGGAAATGTACAAAATATGATTTGTTACCAAGACGACATATGCATAGGAGCTACTAATGAAAAGGAATTAAAAGAGAAAACTGACTTAGTCTTGAATAGATTAAGAAATGCTGGAATGACAATAAATGAGAAAAAATGCACAAGCAATTCTAACAAAATATCTTTTTTAGGTTATTCCATTTCAAAAGAAGGTATATCACCAGACCAAGCCTTGATAGAAAAAATATTAAAAGTAGCTACACCTACAAATAAAAAAGAATTGGAGTCTTTTTTGGAATTGGTAAATTTTTACAGGCAATACTTACCAAAATACATGGACTTGACGGAACCATTTGCAAATTTAAGAAAAAAGAATGTGAAATTTATATGGTACAGACTGTAAAAAAGGGGCTAAAAGCATGCTCTCAGCAAAAAGAAAAAGTAAAAGTTTTTCTACCGAGGCTGCTTTTAAGTTATAGTACGATACCACATGCGGGAAGACTAGAAACCCCATCAGCTTTAATGGGAAGACAGATTAGAGCTCCGCTAACGATGTCATATTCTACAAATGAAAAAATGTGGTACAAGAAGAGCAAAGATGCAGATCCGGAAGGAGCCGAATTTATAATGCAAAAAGGCCACAATACAGCCATAATAAATAGAGAAAATGGTGATAGTGTGTTAGCCCATGCTGACCAAATAAGGACCCAGGGTGAAGGGAAGAACAAAACGACGAAGAAATGTCTTCAATTCCATCTGATAACGAGTTGGTAGAACAACCATTACAGAAGGAAACGTCAGAAGAGGAAACAATGCAGGATGAAGAGGGCCAGAAGGAGTCTGAAAGTTCGGACGAAGACCAGATTATGCAAGAAAACACATATGACTACAGCCTAGCGCGGGACAGATCTAGGTCTCCCAGGGAAAGAAATACAGGAGAGAGAGAAGTAGAGCATAGTGATGAAAATAGCAGAAAAAGGAGTACAAGATCTACGAGAGGAATAAAACCCTTAAGGTTCAGGGAGATGTAGTGATACTAACAAATTAGTATGCATAATTTGCATAAGTGAACACTCATATAAGTGGTCACTGGGAATAACGAGGTGGTAGTACAAGTCCAGTGGCTGATTAGTGCTAATCTCTACTTCACAATAGAATCATTTATTATAGCTCTATAGTCTGAATATCTTTGATTTTTTACCAAGAAAGAAAGTCATGTTTATTAACTATATGCATTAATAGATTAAATAAACAGCACAAATTTTAATAAAAACATAGCTGTCAGTCTAGAGATATCAATAATTGTGATTATTCAGTATATTTTTCAAATTGCTCTCTTCAATGTCAATCAAACATAATCCTGGGACTCAAAACTAAGTAACTTCTAAAAAATAAACACAATATATGTACCTGAGCAAGGCAGAATAATGTATTGGCTGAAATATTTTATTAAAAACAATAAAAATGAAGACAATAGCTTGAAAAATCTATGGAATAATGAAAATACTTCATTTCAGAACTTGAGAAAGCAATTGGAAGCAGTCATGAATTACTAAAATGCTTTTGTCAGATATGGATATAAAATTATTCATGGTTGATGAGAGAGATTAGAAAGTTACTAATTGATATTCATACTTGTGTGTGCAATATTTTTAAATGTATATGTGCACCTGCATTTGCTTTTGGTGTATGTATGCGTGTGTGTATAAAATGTTCCTGTGATGTTATGTAAACATGAGTTTAATTTACTCATATGTTGCATATATCTTTTATTTTATTAGATCTGATTTTAATTGTGGTCTTGTACAAGCTGACAAACCTGTCATCTATCCTATTTTGGAATGGTTGTTGAAGGGACTACCAGAATTAAAAAAAAGAGCCTACCTTGCTCAATTCCTTGTTAAGATCAACATTCCCCCAGATATTATTCAAGAGGACATGGTTGCTGAATCTTATGAACAGGTAAAGATGCAAACATTATCTATGTTCAACCAACTGTAAGTCAACATGAGAATGTTCTTTATACTTTATATCCAGTTTATGCTTGATTATCTGTTCATGAGTTATGTTTTGCTGTTAATGGGTTATAATAATGTCTTCAGTATGCTTTTCTTTATTTCTAGACCAAATTTTTCAGTATCAGAAAATGTTTCTCAGCAAGTATATATCTATCATTTAATATAATCGATACACTTGTACAATATTCATTAATGTTAGATTAGAGTTTTTAATATCCATTTAACTTTGTCAGCCTCAACAACAATCTTCATGAGAGTTTGCATTTTATATAATAAATGTGAATGTCAGTGTGTCACACTTTTTCAACTTTACTCCCAGAGGCCATAGACCAACATATCATACCGTTTGGGAATGAGGCTGACTCCATGAGCAAATTAAAAACATTCTGGGCCAGGTCCAGACCAGCAATCCTGAAATTTTGGATTCCCAAGTTTTCATTACTGCAATTGTTTTTGGATTCCGCCATTTTGGCTTCTACTGATAAAAACAATTAAAGGGACACAAATCTCTAACTTTCAGTAGCTCATGTTCAAATGGAAAAATTACTGTTCTCAAATTACAGTGTTTCAAAATAAAATTGTCTGTATTTTCCATTTTACTCCTAGAGGCTGTAGCCCAACATATATGATTTTGCATTCCCAAGTTTTCATTACTGCAATTGTTTTCGGCAAATTTTTTTTAACTTGGGTATAATCAAAATTAATTGTTAAATCCAGCAAAAGTCACCCATGAAATAAAAATAATTGTGTGTATGGAAAGTAAAGACCTATCTACATCAAATTGTCTTTAAATCAAAATGGTGGCAGAAGAATTATTGTTGAACTTTGAAAAGGCAAGATTAAATATTAATGCAATACTTACCATTGTGGATGAATGAAATACAAAAATATTAATTTCTGATCACCTGCTTTTATGTCATTAAATTGAAAATATTTTCAGCTGATCATATTTTTTTTATTTAGCAACTTTGAAATTGAAATGAAAATTGAATGATGTTAAATTTTGAATCAGAAGTTAAATTTTTGCTAAGATAACATGAATCTTAGGCTTTGCTCATCTATATTTTATCCACCATAATCAATTGTATTTTGTTATTTGAGTTTCAACATGTGAATTAAAGAGAAATCAGCCTATTAAAAAAGATGTAAAATATATTTGAATTTTTATTAATGAAATCAACGTAACAATTTTAAATGCTTTTTCTGGGTTATATTGAAAGTAACACAACTGTTATCATTATACAAATTGATTATTTACATTAAAAGATATTAAAGTAGAGTGCATACACTTGAAGGTAACCACTTAACAATTTCCAAGCCCCAAATTGAAACAGCCTTTATAATAGGTTTAGGTTCTTGAAATGGATGTGCATGTAGCATAGTGGTTACTGTGTGCAAAGTGGAATTGGCATGCTGAGTTCAAATTCCAGCCGAGGAAGTTTTGTTTGCTTTTTCAAAAATACTCTTGAAAAAGTACGAATCCATCTCTTCTCTCCCCAGTTAGGTTTTAATAGCAGAGCAGCTTTGGCTCTTTAACCTTGGTTGGCAGCCAGTCTAGGTGAAAGACAACTCTGAAACCAAAACAAGTTGGGCATATGGCTAGCAACTCCACCCTGCAAAATCCTACTTGTTATAGAAACCACAGCAGCAATGCCTAGAATGATGAGGCTGTAGTTCTATACGGCACTGTGGAGTCTTCAGGACTTGCATATGTTCAAATGATGCATTATCTGAAGCATTCAAAATGATTAAAAATTTCTCTCCCATGTTTGATATTGTTGCCTTTTTAGCAAAAAGTTTGATAATTAATTACAGCATAGCCGGTAAGTTATCAAATGTGTTGTATTGAAGAAAGGGTAAAATAAAGGAATTGTTGTAAAAATAGGGCACTTAATTATTAGTGTTTTATTTAAAAGAGATATTTACATCATAATTCCTTATGACATTGATATCAATCTTGCAGTTTGTAGATGGTATTGATAAATATCACTAAGGTTGACTTTGACTTAAAATCTCCTGAATAATAACTATAGCTTGAGGATAATTAGTCATAAAAGCTTGAGGATGGAGAATGGAGGTGTTGTTTTATTGAAGCTCAGAAATGTTTCTGCCCTTTTAAAAACTGATTGGAGAGATGACCCAGAAAGATGAGAAATTAAAACTGGCTTTGCGGCTTACATTAAATTCTTGTAACAGTAACATAAGATACTGCTGGAATAATATGAAAATCTTGAGCATGGAAAGGATTAGGTTGGAATGAAGGAGAAAATATATGTTCTTGACAATAATAATCCTGGAAAGATTTGAGAAATGGAAATGACTTTTTTTAGTTGAATAGAATATAATTTGAGTGGCATCTATAAAAAAAAAGGCAAGTGAAAAAGAAAGCAGGTATATATAGTTAAACTGTTTAAAACTGAAATGCAAAAACAGCAGCAGTTTTGTGAGAACTTGATATAAACATAGGAAGCAAGGAGATTTTTCCTAAATTTGTATACTTAACAGAGTGCAACAGCATTGATGATTTTCACACTAAAATATGAAAATTGGCATTTCTCAAATATAAGAAACAGTTTTTTTCACGGACATGTAGGTACATCAATAAATCAAGAGCCTAACGGTAAAAAAATTATTGTACACAACAAATATTTATTTTTTTCAACATAATCTCTTTCCTTATCAGTTCCCTTAATTAAATGGTGAATATTGATAACATAGACCAATTATTATACAATGAAAATTTCAGACCAAAATTAAGATAATAACTACATATCAGGATACAAATTTATTGATCTGTCATCATTGTTTCTATCTTAGCAAAAATCACATAATAATGCAATTTACTTAACAGCACCATTCATGATCCACTTCAAAGAAATGTAGCCTGACATTTCTTTATTACTTATGACAAAATTGATTCTATTTTTATTGTTGCTTCTCCTTTTCTGAATACTTTTTCTGCTTTTGGCAAATCCTACATAATGATTACTCTTGATTTTTAGATTAAATCATATTTGACTAGCAGTACTGAATGACCTCAAAACATTATGCCACCTTATTATGTCTTAACTACATTCCCACTGGATGTAAAATCACCAAAAAAAGTAAATACAAAAAATTTTGAATTATTTTTATTTATTTCATTTTATCTAAGTAAATCTTAAATGGTCTCTAGTCTATAGTTTTTACTGTCAGTTTTTCTTTATTTTTCAATGTGATAATCAGTAAACCTCATATTTTTAATGTGATTTCAACTTTAATTTATTCGTAGGAATACATTAGCATATATGTATGTCTGTATATCACTGTATAACACAGATTCAAATAAACGAAAAAAACATTTTTGTTTTACAGTATGAAGAACTTATCAAACAGTTTAAAGAATGGCACAAACACTCAGAACAGTTGAAAACATCCAGCTTTAACACTCCAGAAATTCGCCGTGACATTTCACAAATGGAAGAAGAGAAGGAACAACTACTGAAGCGAATTGAGAGATTAAAGAGAAAAGTCAGTGGATTGTATTGATTTTTTGTCTTATGATTTTCTCTTTAGTTTTTGCAAAGATAATCATACAATTTTTCTGACTTACTTACTTTATATGATTGCTTTTAGAATGACTTAGTTTTTTTATTGATTTTAGATTGAAGAGTTAGTTTCAAATATTGAATACTTGTAATATATTAGGGAAAGTAAAAGCAAATAAAAGTTAAGTGATGCACTAATTGAGGAGGTGCAGGTAGTGTAAAGGCTGTCATTGCAGAAAATGAAATCAGTAAGTCTGTTGTGTTCACTTATGAATTCATCTCTTCTTTTCCTGACTCCCTCTTCCACTAGCAGTAAGTAAAAGTAGCAGGACTGACTGAACTCTTTAACTTTGGTTGGTAACCAGTCTAGGAGAAAGAAAGAAAAAAAGAAGCCTACTTGCTATTGAAACTGCAGCAGTATCCCCTATTACAGTGTATGTTACATCATTCTGCTACAAGTTGGTGTCTACAGGTTCCAAAAGAAGAATGCACCAATTCCATTAGAATGTTGAACACTTTTCGTTTGATTTTTTTAGAGAACTGATTTTTTTGTCTTGTTTTCAATCTTATAATGCAGGTGCTTATATATTCATCTTGCTAATTATTTGAATGAATGCCATATAGCATATATGGCTATTACATTCAGTTGCAATTGATGATTTGAAGAGAGACTTTTATCAAATACTACTTTGTTACATACATTCAATTTATTCTCAGAAGAATGATAAGCTTCTGAGACAAGAATTTTTTCTCAATGATTATTAGGTCAATGAGTTGAAGTAGAAAAGTTGTTAAATTATTAAAATAAAAACAATGAATAATTATGCAAAGAATTATTTTCTTTTAAATGTAAAAATATGGTTTATATTAAGTTTAAATAATGCAAAAATGTAAACAAACTAATATTATAATATTTACATTGTAATGTATGAATTAATGAAGTTAGGTCAGCTGCTGTCTTGACAATAATTTGATGGAGGAGGGTAATAAATAATAGAATCTGGTTGTTACTATATGACAAGCTCAAATGTCCCTAAGTTTCTTTGAAATAGCCATTCATATATATATTAACTATTAAAAGGGAATTAACTGTCTTAGGTAGGCATCAGTTTAAAATATTTTAAGCTCTTTTCACTCAGTTTCATTTCATATCTTTGCATATAATTTTTTATATATCAAGAACAGTTATAAAAGAAAAGATATATGACAAATTGGAAAAAGTTTTTATGACACATTTCATCTGTTAAGACTTCATTGTATTAGGGTTGTTTACATTGTTGTGACTACACATGCATATGAACAAGAGACACTGGCGGTTTCAAAATTTAGAATATATAATAAAATATTATAATTTCTGTTTCTTGAACTATGTAATTTTTATTGATTATCTTTAGAGTTCCTTGATGTAGGGGGCAAATAAGGTCAAAATTAAATGTACTGAAAATGAAGAACAAGAAGACATTCTAAAGATTCCTTTACTAATTCTTTAGATGGAATCTTGGGATTTTCATAAATGTTACATTAATAGATTTGTTTTATAATTGTATTAAGCATGATGAAAATGGAGTTTATGAATAAAACATTTGGAAATGAGGGTGACTATTTACAATTGAAAGAAATGGGGAGTCTCTTTGCCTGTGGGTCAGGTGTGGAGCAAACATTTTCTTGTCATTGTCAAAGCATTACTTTACCTTTTGATGACTTTTAAATTCCTGAGCTGGTCAAACAACTTGTGATTTGCTATTTTTTTAACATTGCCTTTTAACTGTTAGTTATGTCATGAAAACATCAACTAAAATGTTTGTTGGAGACAGAATCAATGTATGCATTAATATTTATCATTCAACAAATGTCAATTATTTCAGTTCATTTGATAAATCATCACAAGAATAATCATGTTAAGTGGACAATAATAAAGATTTATATTGAGAGAGAAGGTTTGATGAAGAATTTGAATTTTTTAGCTTAAGTATGTCTGTGATATTTTTTATTACTAAGTTTGTTAAGAGAAAATGAAAAATTTCAAATTTATTGTCACGTCTAATTATTATAATTTTACAAAAGCTGAAAACCATTAAACAGTTACATCAATTTTAGAAAAAAAGTTTTGTTAAACGATTTATTCAACCTAACTGCATTTACTCTAATGCAATTACCTACATTATTCAAGCTAAAGCAAAAAGCGGTAAATAGATGAATGTAAGAATTCTTGATATCAAGCATCATCTCTGATATAAAAATAATAACTGGGAAATTGCAATTAAATGGTCAAAATGTTAAAAAAATATCAAGAAAATTGCAAAAGCAAAAAAACAAATTTTATAATGTATGCTCATATGCATAAATATAAAGGAACAGGTTCTAAGAAAAGAAAAAAACAGGTAATGTTGAGTACTAGGAAGGTAAAACCTGGCAGGAGTTGATTGCTGAAAAATTATCTCAAATTTAAATAAAAAGGAAGATTACATTCACAATAGCTTTCAAAAGAAAAAGATGATAGAATATCTATTGCGTTACTCACTCAACTACAAAGCTAATTAAAAGAATGGAATGTTGACAGGCTCAGATATAAGATAAAAAGAAAACATGAGATGGTATAGGGGAGAACAATCACTTTAAGAGTGATAGCATAATGCTAAAATCAACCTGAAAGTAATACTTGTCTTTTAATTACATCAGATTTAATAGTAGAAGCCCACAAAGCATAATAAAATGAATACAAAAGTCTCAGGATTTCAAATCTAGTCCTCAGCATAGTTATTTTCCTTCTCCATTGTAATATTCCACCTTTGAATGAGGGCACATATACCTACATCATCAAAGCTTCTTGCAGCATACTGTTGCAGCATATCTACAGACAATAATGGGTATGCCTCCATTCCCATAAATACAGTAGTGAATACTGTATGTGTGGGTCTGTGGTTAGAGATTCATTGTGGAATTCACTTCTAGCAGTTGACTACTTCTTCTGCATGCTGCTGGCAATTCTTATATGTGTTGTTCTTGTCCTAAGTATTATCATCCATTACCAACCTTCGTTTGATTATTCTATTCAGTAACCTTCCCTAGGTTATAACACATACATAGGAATGTACAAGTTGCATCTATCACCACATCATCATTGAAAAAAACTGTCAAATAGATGAAAGTTTAAGGGTGCTAAGTTAGAACTGTAGGGTGAATACAGCAAACCATGTACTAAGATTGCTTATTTAGCATTTAAGCTGTTCTGAGGCCTTGAATTGTCATGTTGCAAAAGCATATACCCATCTTCAAATGTGACTTAACTCAAAGCAAAGCCTCCTCTGAATATTGACAATGTTCCCATGTAGGAATCAATTGATATTTGCAGACATAAACTCTAACTTTATAACTGCCTTTTTCTCCCAAAAGACAGTGGCCAATACTTTCTCTTCAAAATGATGAACTCAAGTCTCATCTCCTATAACTATCCTATTTAGGAAGAAGTTAGCCATGTGGTGCAGCTCCAGAAGCTCTTGGATAGTAATCTCTCTCTACTTCTTCATAGAGTCTGTTAATATTCTGAAAATGCACTTTACAAAGACCTTTCAATATTTAAGAGACCCCATTACACTGTGGACACTACCTTAGCTCATCTGAATCCTTTGATATTGTTTTGCAATAGTGATACTTCTGTTGCTGCAATGAAAATATTAATTACTTTGGCCTTATTCTCATTCACTGCAGCAGCTGGCCTGCTACTGAGAAGCCTGTCAGTAAGGTTAGTTTTTCTTTTTTCTATAGAATTGCCATCAGCTTTATTGACCCATTTCTTTGTTATATTTACATTAAGTGAAGCTTTGCCATAAATATTCAACCTTATGTGAATGTTTGCAGCACTTTCTCCTTCCAAAAAACAAATTCTATAACAGCACTTTGCTTTTTATGTGTGTCCAGAGGAGCCACAATTTTGAAAGAGGATTATGAGTAGGAAGGTAATTCCATAAATTTTTCCACTGGGCTTCTAGACACTTTATGATCCAGAAGTAAAAAATAAATAAAAAATAAGAATACTTGTAAAATTAATTTAGAATAGGCATTATTTTTTTTACCAAAATTCATAATAATTTCAATACTTTGGTAAATTCTTGACATCTTTTTTTGCAGATTTCAGTAAAGAAATAAATTAGATTTGACATAAAGACAAGGAATTAAAAATTATGTTGGTTGGCTGTTTTTGTTTAGCAGCATATGGGTTATTTAATGCCAAAATCTAAATATTTTTTGTACACAATTTTCTGATTTCAACTACAAATATTTTGTACATAATTTTATACTTTCAGAGTAAATATAATATACAATAACTATTTAAGTATGAAAACAGTCAATATATTCAGGGATTATTTCATAGAAAAAAAATATTGCAGTCATTCACAATTTGTACTTTTAAAATCTATAATGCAAAACTAGTACAGAAAATGTATAACAACATTTAAAGAAAAATTTTTATGAATAACCCTACTTTTAAAGTTAAAACAAATGTGAATACAGTTAATATAGGAATCTATTGCTTAGATATTGAAAATTTGTTCTTATAACTAGAATTAGATTATAGAATTTTAAAAACTTATTTCAAAGTTCAGTTTCCAAAATATTTGCATCAAAATGTTTGTACTTCTGGTAAAATACTGTCTACTACTGAGTCTATTTACTGTAACATCTGTAATCTACCAGTGATGAAATAGATATTTTTGGCTTGATACAATTTTTTCTTGTCATGAATGTTAAAAAATGCTTAAAACTTTGTTCTGTAAAAAATGAATAACTTGTAATTCTCTTTCTTTACCCTCTGATCTAGGTTGAACCTCATCCCAATGCACAAACTATGATGAGTGTAGCTAAGAACCTGAGGCAAGAAAAGGACCAAGAAAAGAAGTTAGCTGAACAAAAAACCAAACAAAATGAACAGGTAAAAATTGTTTTGGTTTTCTATTTCTCTAAAATCCTTTTAAATGCTGCATTTTTCAAAATTTTATATACTAGGAACACTTTTTAAAAAGTGTTTTTTAGCAGAAGAAAAGTGAGAGACTTGGCTAGACAGATAAGTTTGGTTAGTTAATGTGCTGTAGTTTTGGGGGTTAGTTAATAGTGGCTGGACAGATTTGTTGGGTTAGTTAATATGCTGTAGTTTTTGGGTGTCTAAAAAAGTAATTATGACATGACCTCTCCAAATTGAGTGCTCCTTCATGCTGACAGTAATGTCTTTGTAGGATTAGATGACCATATTCCATCTAATTGGTAAATGTGCAATGGGAAAATAAAGAGAACAGATGCTAGCAGTCAAAAACAGATTTATCACTTTTTCACTCAGTCACCATATTCTAGTTCTAAATGCATAAGTTGCTGATTTGAAAATATTTATTTTCTTTCAGTAACTTTGAAGGTTAATGACTAGTATTTTTTTGTTAAAAATGCTTTAAAAACAAGCAGTTGTTTTCAACTTTCTTTTATATCAAAATTCACCTAATGCAATGTTTGATAGTCACTGAAGGTAGAGGGCTACTGTTAAAATGGTAAATATATATGATATGAGTGAAAAAGAAGGTGGTAAGAAGTGAAGATTATGAGGATAAGGAGGATAGATAATGACTGGCCCATGACTTGAAGAGGTCAAGATTGTAGAATTCAAGGAAGTATCCACATGGGATTCTATTCCACAGAGTAGCAGTTCTTGGGGGGAAAAGCAATACTTCATACTTGGCAGCAATATTAAAATATTTGGTCTAATCAACCACTTGTAAAGACAAAGCATGACAGAAGTAGTTGGGTACTTACTGGAGTGATAGAAAGAGATGACCATTTTCTTTTGCAATGGATCATATATACTAACTTTGCTTGAGGTCTGAAACGAACTCAATAGGTGTTCAAGGATAGGAGCCTCATTGAGGATGTAACTGTTCATGTTATCTCTATGGGAACTGAAAGGAATACATTGCACACATGACTACTTGATGGTATTGTTAAAAAATTAATTCTTTCAACAATATCAGTCAACATAATCATTAGTACTATATCTCTCTAAATTTGACAGATAATACAAATGGTTTCTGTCTGTAAAACATGGTTTGCTTTATTTGCTTCTCAAATGACAGAACTCTAAAATACAATTTTCATTTTAGATACTGTTGCAAAATGGCTTGTAAGACTTAAAAAATTCTCATGCTTAAAATTATTGTTCATAAAAGATTTAAGTTAAAAACTGAACCAATTTAAGAAGAATTAACTGTATTCAGTGTATTTGTTAATGTTTATAATTCTTAGTTTTCTGGGAATTTCTCACCAAAATGAACTGACTTAAAATAGATGTTTGCAGACATGGATTTCATCTGGTCAATTCCTCAGAGAAATTATCTCCTTCAAACAGCTGTGCCATCTAACATATAAATTAGTACTTTGTTTTTATTTAGATTCAAACCTACAAAAGATATGAAAATATCAGCTGGTGTCAAATTTTACATTTAAAATTTCTTAGGTGAATTGCACTTTAATTTAAATATTTAAAAAAATACTTATTTTAAGTATTTAAAAAAATCTGGTCATCTTTTATAAATTATCAGCAATATTCAAGTTCAGAAATGGCCTGATATTTCAGATTCACCAAGCTGAGCAAAGAATTTGGAGACTACAACAGCAATTAAAGAACACACAACAATCTCGAGATGGAGCTTCTCCAAGATGTGAGTATGGCAATATGACATTTATTGCTGTTTTATAAAGTCCAATCTTTTCATGTGGAAAATTACTTTTCATTTTTTCTATTGATTTTCTCTTCTTTCCATCATTATAAAATGGAAAACTTTTGCAATTAATTTTTGTGTAGAAAATGAAATGCAAAAAAAGCAGTGAATTTAAATGAACAGATTCATAGACCATTAAAAGATAGTTGTGGTTGTGGGATCAAGCAATTATTTTTTATTTTTCATGAAGGCCTTCTGACTTATAGGTAGACAAGCAAAGAATATTAGGACAAAATAGGAGAAAATATATGGTAAATTTGTGGATAATTCTTTTACTTTCATCAGAAAATATTTGCATACAATTTTGAGAAATAAAAAGAAAAAAGTTGCCATTTGTTTACATTGTAATTTTACATAATTTGTTATTTGAATGGATTTACAATCAATGTATTCCAGTGATTCTACAACATATTGAAGAAGAGAGTAAAACTAACAAATATCTTGTTAAAATTCAACAAGTCAAAGAATTGGAAGAGAAAAATAAGATTTTAGAGGATATGCAAAGAGTTGTATCAGAACCTTTACTTGGTCAAACTGAAATAAGTGAACTAGAAAACAAGGTAAGGATAATATTTCTGTTAATATTTTTTTCTCTTTATTTATGAATTATACAACAATTTATGACATTATGAATGTTTGGAGGTAATTTCTTATTTTACATGAAAATGACAAAATTTGAATATTAATTTCTGCTACAATAACCAAAGAAATATTCTTGTTGAGCCTTTAAATTTAAATGGAATATCAGAAAATATCTGCTGGCTTTATATTGTAATTAGTGTTTTTCATAGTAAGTTGAAATTTATCTGTTACAAATATATTGCCGAATCTATTTTTTGGTGGTTTTGATCATTAAACCATGGCTTAAAATTTCTTTTAAATGACAGTATTTTAAAATAAAATAACTTTAAAAGGATTTAACCAAAAGTATATAAATTGTATTTATATTATTCAAACAGTTTATGAATTCATAGTTGAGGTAGTGCCACAAAAGCATTTAATTATGGCTTTAAAAATGTACATTTTAAAAAGTATATATTAGCATAATATATAGAAATATATTTAAACAAAAGGAAAAAATAACAAAGAAAATGAAACAATATTACTCACTTTAAAGTGTTAAACAAAAAATAATAGCAAAAAGAAGCTAATCAGTTGTTGTTCATTCTTCAGAGCTCAATCAAGGACAAAACATCTATGTGCACAATGAGTAAAATTAAAAGGGGGTGGGGGGGAGCCATAATAAAATGTTGTAGCCCCCACAATAGCATTTAACCATAAATAGCTCTGAATAAGTATCTCCATTCATACACAGTTGATCATAAATCTTGAGCTTAAAAAAAAAAAAAAGAATGAACTAACCTCTTTCTTCATGTTTGCATGATCTGTTGGTGTGGAATGTTTTGGTTAAGTCAACAAAAGTGATTTACAGCTCTTTTTTTCTCTTGACATTTTTCCTAGGTCTTCCTCTAGACAAAAGCCATGTGTACTGTGATTAACTTTAGAGAAACTTTTAAGAAGGTGATCTGCCACAACAGTTGATACTAGTCTCTTCAATAGGGTCTTCAATTCATCTATTCTCTTTTGTTTTTGTAAAGGGTTATGATGACTGTATCTTTGAAAGTATAGGATATTTAACCTTTCCCTCAGTAAAAGACAACTAGTTTGTACATGCAAAGCAGGGCCATCATATTTATAGATCTCTGAAAAGATACTATTAAAACCCGTGATTTTGTTATGCTTCAGCTGATCAATTGTTTTTGCAATTTCTTGTACTGTTGGTATCTAATCCAGTTTCAGTTTTACTGGTTGTTGTAAGATGCAATCAATAAAAGCTTCCTGGACCATGTGATTTGTAATGATTAGTGGCTCAGTATGGAATTCTTGTCAGCATGCAATTATGGCCTGTCTACAACATACAAGAGGTTTTGGAGGAGCCACCATATACTACTTTTAATGCTTGATAGAAACTTTTGTAGCTAACGTTATCAGCACAAAATTGTTGTTTTCCTGTGTGCTTGGTCCACTACTTATTTTGTATAATGCAGAAGTTGTTTTGGAAGATGTTCAATAATTGGCAAAAGGGAACTTTCCTATATGTTTTAGGATGGTTCAGATCTTATTTTAGCAGGAATATCTGAAATTTGTGAGATTTTAGGAGTCTATGAAATCTTAATGCTTTGAGAAAGGATTTAATGTTCTGTTTGATGTTTATAATCAAACTGAACACTATAGGCATATCTATAGTATGAAACAATGCTGCAATTTTGGTGATGGTACTTTTTGTGGTCTTTCTTAAAGAGTTGTTAGTATTTGTCAGAAAAGTCTTGAGGTACTCTCTGGCCAAGTATATATCTTCTGTAAGAGATATATTTATGTGTTTGCTGAAAAATCTCCTGGGAATATGATTATGGAAGAAAATGTGCATTATGGTTGCAACCTAATTTTTGTAACCTACTGGAATAGCATAATGAATAGTGCATGTAGAAAGTTCCTGTTTATTCTTTGTCCACTGATAGAACCTATTTTTAAAAACATGAAACAGTACTGAACAAGGACTATCATGTAGGAAGAAAAAGGTTGGTCAGTTTTTTTATGTGTGAGTGTGAAAGTGGCTACTACTTTCCTATGTGGATTCAAGTTTATTTCTAGGTATATGTATCTCTGTCTCTGTTCATAACAGCTTATGAAGGACTCTCTTTTTCTAAACTGGTCTATCACCCAAATATATATATATATATAGATATATATATATATATACACACAGGATTCTTTATCTGACTTACCATCATTATTAATTAGTTGCTTAGTAGCCAGATGCCGTAAGACAGCCTCTAATTTTATTTTGAAACTTTCCAACCACATGTAAGAAAATATAGTTCCAGTGCTTTCACTGCAACATAAATCTAAATCAATATTTCCCTTCATCCACATCTAATCATAAATCCTAAACCTTCAAAAAACAAAAACAAAAACAAAATGATCTATTTCTTCATCTATGTATAAGACCTATAATTGTGAATAACTTAAAGGTACAAATAATCTTGTTGGGAAAAACTGGTAAGACTCTCAGTACTAGTATCATACCATTACTTGACAATAATCATACTATCACAGGAGTGTCTCATGGCATCTATATGATTATGACTTTCAGTTACCTTTAGGGACAGAAGAAAACCCCAAACAATCTTAGATTAGAAGAGTAATGTCAGAGGTACATCTTAATGTTTACAGCAAGGATTGAATGATCCAAGTGTTCTGGAACTAACAGCATAAATAAACCTTGCAATGTATATTGCATCACTGGATATACAAAATAAATGCTCAGATTCCTTGATGATTATGTAATTTATTCATTCAAATGAAAAGGAAAATTTTGGTTATTTTATTTACTTAATTGACTTATTTTTATTTAAATAGCTTCAGTTTATGTTATTGATTAGTATAAACCAAGAACCATGAACAAAACAAGTCAACTTTAGTTTGAAATAAATTCTATCTGTGTATTTGTTTTGTACTTCAATTCTGTTTTATTTTTCTATTTTGGCAGCTGCATGAAGTTACAGAAGAAGTAAATCAACTGATTGAAAAGAAAGGTTTACATACAGATGGAGTTGATGATAAGCTGCATCTGTTTAGGAATCAGGTAACAACAACAACAACAACAGCAGTTATCAGTATTACAGAATAAAAGTACATTCCCATTGAGTTTAGAATGAGAGAAATAGTTCTGCTAGTAAAGATCCTGCAATAAAGCTAAAAAAAATCAAAATAGAATGGACTGATCTCTCATAATAAATATGTAGCATTCTCATGTACAATTTTCTTTTCATATTTAACTGTTCTATTATTAGTTTTAACAGCATTAGAGTTTTAATTTCATCTCAAAATCTTAATTTACCAAATTAACCTGATTTTGAAATTTATCAACAAATCAAATTTTTAATATTCAAATTGTGAAAATATGTTCCTACAATAAGTGGGAACAGTTTCTTTATAGGGATAATGTGTTGGAAAAGTGACATACAGGGTGTTCAGGCTAAATTTGACAAAGTTTAATGTTCTTATTTTTTCAAATTGGTTTGGAATATCTGTAAAAAGTGAATGGCATTGTGAAACCTAATCACTACAGTTTTAAAGATGTCAAAATTAACTGACATGGATAAGTGGAAGCCACCTGAATATTGGAAAAGGGTAACCTGCATCATGATGATTCATTATGACAGCTGCTCAATGCACTTTGAACACTGTGAAAACAATAAGACATGAAATGGAGAGCTGCAACCATGACTATGAGACCATGGCTTGTAGGAAAGAACATGGTAGACATTCTGATTGCCTCCATGCACCAGAATTCATCCAACAGTTGCAGGAAAAAATGATGGAAGACCCAGGCCATTGAATGCAGGCTTTGGCACAGGAAATCGGTGTTTCAATTTCCACCATGAAGCTGGCCTTGAATGAGGACCTCTACTACTAGTCATACGGGAGATGTAAATGTCAACTTCTTTCAGAAAAGGCTTGAGCAAACCGTCTGACAAAGTCAAAGAAACTTATAAACAAGATGAAACATCCTGTTGAACCAGGGACAATCTGGTTCTTTGATGAAAATAATTTTTGTCAGGTGCACAAAACCCAGAACAACAGATGGCATTTCTCGTGTCATGAAAACCAAGTTTCCCCAATCAAATTGTGATGGTTTGAGGGTGTTTCTCCAGTGCGGGTGATGTTATGCCACTTCACATCTTTAAACAAGGTCTCATGTTCAATTTGGATGGCTATATGGAGTTGCTGAACACTGTGGTCAAGCCCTGGTTGGAGAGGGTAGCTTGCTGGAAGATCATGTGTGACAGCAAAATTCAGCTTCCTGCCACACCTCCAAGAAGACTTAGAAGTGGTTGTCAGATAATTTTTATGACTTCATCAGCACCAACATCTGGCCCCCTAACTTCCCTGAGTGTAACCCCATGGATTATTATGTGTGGGGCATGGTTGTGAAAGACACCAACTGCACTGCCTGTAAAATCAAGGCCCTGTTGATCAACAGGATTAAGGAAGCATTTGAGACTCTCCCCAGTGAAACCGTGAAGACCACATGTGCCAGATTCCAGAGTTGAATTGAGGCCATGGTAGATGCTGAAGATGGCTTCTTTGAGTGAATTGTCTTTTGATTATTATAACCTGAATGCCACTTTTCCAATAAATTGATTTTTGGCTGAGATATACCCATTGTTTTGCTTTAATAAGAAACTATCAAATTTATCCCAAACACCCTGTAGAATTTGTGGCAATGTCTAAAAAACTAAATATTTAATGTGAGAGTTAAAGTAGTTTGTCTACTTACAATCCCTATTGTTTCATAGTTTTAGCAAAAATATGTTTCTGAATTTATTTTTACTGTTGTCATCAGCATTTTGCTTTCTCTCTTAATTTAGGCCACAATCATTTCTAGGAAGAAAGAAGAAAAAGCAGATGAACTACAAAGAATTAGGGAAGAGATGAATAAATTATCACAGGCATTAGAAGAGAAGAGGCAAGTGTTGAAAGAGTCAGGAACCGGTGAAATTCTTAGAAAGGAAGATGTAAGGGTTTCTTTAAATTTTTATCACTTCAAAACAGTTAAATATGGCATTACCTATTACAAAATAGTTGCATAATGTTTATTTTTGTTATTTAACTAGGGTTTTAGTCATTTTCCTACAAAATAATAAGAAAGAAATGTCTGTTTTTGCTTCATTTTTAGAGTAAGTCTGTTATAAAAAAGAATTATAATAACATTTGATAAAAAGATATGCATATAAAATAAGTCTGGCAGCATTGGATGATATTTCTCTGATAATTTTTTTCTTATTTTCAGTACATGAGGTTTGTAAACAAACTGAGGACAAAGAGCAACATTCACAAGAAAAAGAAGCTTGAACTTGAAGAAATGAGAGCAGAACATGGTGTCTTGTCCCGTACGGAAGAAATCCTTTCAAATAGACTTGGCCTTGTGGACCAACAATTGGTATAAATTCTATAGTGAAGAATTTGTGGAATCATTTAAAAGAAAAAAAAAAAGTCATTTGCTTCTCTTTTTTTCTTTTCACACTTCCCTGAGATCCAAGAGAAATTAGAGTTTTATCTTTGTCAGAATCAGAAAGTTTGAATTTGATCTTCGTCATATTTTACAATTTCAAGTGTTTCCATCCCTTACATAATTTCTGGCCTTTGATTGAACTTTTTAACTATGTTTGATTTGAGAAAATATTTTAATGAATAATCCTTTTGAAATAACAGCATGCAGGATTCTCTAAGTTGTTTTAAAGTTTTTTCATGCCTCAACTATATTTTTTGATAATTCAAGAAAATACATATGAATATTTTCTATGATTGACTTGGAAGAAAAGATTGTTTAATGAATGGTATTTGTCAATGAATCAGTCTTTATTATTGTTTTTAGGTGCTCCTATTGTTAATATGAAATGTTTATAGGTTGTGTAAAATATAGATAACTGAGGTATTAAATGTGCAATCCTATAATAACAGAGCAAACTAATTTGTAATCCTTTATTATATTGAGACAAGCATAATCCACGCCAAAAATGAATCAGTACTTCTGCCTTGGTTTAGAGAATCTGTTCTCTCTACATAGGATTAAAGTGTTGTATCTGTGTTCTATGTGAAAAGTGTTACATGTTATATATATATTTATTTATTTATTTTCATCTACTGGCCTGAATATTCAAGAAATCTTATTAGAAAAAATATTTGCTCTTTGGCAGGATTCAAATGGCATATTTTTCTCTGATAAGATTTCTTTAATATTCAGACCAGTAGATGAAAATAAATAAATATACTGTTTAATAAATAAATGGAGCATCTACGCAAATACATGTGTCCACTAAAAATAATGTTTAAGTAATAAAAATCTGTCAGATTAATAAATAAAAAATCCATCCCCTTTCTTTACAAATTGCTTTGTTTATATTAGTATACAAAACTAAGCAGATATGTCTGTTTCAAGAGTTCAAATCCTGCTAGAGAGTGTATATTTTCTCTAATAAGATTTCTCAAATATTCGGGCCACTAGACAAAAATAAATAAATACACTTTTTCATAAATAACAGAGTGTCTGCTCAAATACAAGTATCCATTAAAAATAACTTTTAAGTAATAAAAATCTGTTGGATTAATAAATAAAAAATCCATCCCCTTTCTTTATATATATATTCTTTTTGCCACTAAATGAGATCAACATTTATACCAATGAATATTTTGGTAAGTTTGCTTAATATTCAATAGAGTGATTGATTTTCCTTGAAACGTTTGTAAATAATATTTATACAAAGTTTTTTTTTTTTTTTTTTTTTCGTAGTCAGCATTAGAAGCAGATCAGGGTGTGGCTGGATATCGTGAAACTCAGGAAGAATTGGAGAAAGTTTCAGCCATCAAAAGTGAGTTTGATGAGATGAAGGATAAAACTCTAGAGGACATGTCCAAAATGGTCAACACATTGAACAAAAAAGTGGAAGAGAAAAAAGGGGCTTTAGCTCCTGTTATACAGAATCTGCGGCTTCTCAGAGATGAGTTCAAAGTTAGTTGATGCACTTGTTTATGCCTGTGTTGTGTTGTTAAACTCCAAAGTTTATTACTGCAAAGTGTCATGCTATCTAAAAAATGTAAGCTATTTTAATGTTTAAGGCCACATTTTGCATGCACTTCAGTTTTAATCTAATTGTATTGAGTGCATGTAGCTTTGTTCCATTTATAAAAACAAATAAAGGACAATTTCAAACTGGATTCTTTTGCCCTGTTAGGCTGTCTCATAAATAAAGTATAAACTCTTTCTTCTTTGAACAAACACTATTATTATTATTATTAAACAAATTACTTTCTTTTGTAGGTAATCACTCAAGAGTATGAAGGAAAGAAGTCTGCTTATGAAATGCAGTCAGCTAATCTAGAAACACAAAGGTCCCAGTTAGAAAAGGTAAAGACATTTGTTATTTATTCATTCTGTGTTAATTATAAATAAACACATTATTTCAGTTTTATTGCTTCAATATAACAAATTTCATAAATGATATTACACAACCAATGGGTGTCTGAATTGTCCAGGTTCAGAGTGCAGTATCTATTCTGGCCAGTCTTATACCAGATATACTTTTAAAGGGTGGTAGATTTCTTCAGCTTCACTTGACTATCTACTTAGGATGGAGAAACACTGTATCTCATCCTGATGGGCCATAGCAAGTAAACCTTTGGTTTAAAGGTTGGGAGCAGAAATAATGTACACCACATGTCATAATAGAACTACATCACTGAGAAGGACTGAAAGTTTTATACATAATTAATCATTTATCAAATCCTACAGCAATGGAAGTTGGGTAAAAACAACAGGTAGAAGGTGATATTGAAAGCTGTAATTCCAATTTCCAGATATGGAACACTTTCCTAAATCTTTAGTTATAAAGTCAAGCCACAACACAATCAGTAATTTGAAATTTTGAAAGTTTTAACAACATTTTTCTGAATTAAGAACAACATTGAAAGAAGCCCCAATACATATAATTATTTCCTAAACACTTAATTCTTCATATGTTTTACATCAAATATGAAAATAAATGTAAAATATATTAAAATATGGAAAGATGAACATTTTTAGAAATTGACTTGTAAAATTTATTTATTCCATGACTCAATTCATCTTTTTTTATCAGTTATTTAGAATCAACACAGGAACATAAAAGCATCTTATGCTATCATATTGTGCAAATGCTATCCGTCCAATACTTAGTCATTTTTAAATTTCACTGACATTTTTCTAGGAAGTACGCAGCTACCGTGAAGAATGTAACCATCAAGAATCACGTTATCATTTACTTCATATTCAAAATGAAATATTGGAAAGCCAGAAATGCAGAATTCAAGATGAGATGAGTGCCTACAAATCTGCTGATCCACAAGATAAGAAAAAGACATTACGGTAATTTGATACTTAAATATAACTTCCTTTTGTCAAATTTCAGATATACTTGATGTTAGAAGATAGCTTTCAAGTTAAGTTGAAATTAGTGTGAAATACTTTATTTTGCAACTTGCAGAATTATTTAAAATGATATTTATGCAAAAAAATTCCATATTTATTTTTACATTTATAACACTAAATGAATCACAGAAAATAGTGCGCATTTCTCCTTAGTTGAAATAAAGATCCAGGAAAGAAATATTGGTTTCTAGATTTTCATTTTTATTTCAGATGAAATAAATTTTTTTCATTTTTTTTTGGATATCAATGTACATTTGTTGCCACTTTTGTTATGTCAATGAATACTCATTGTCACTTTCGCAGTGCTTGTTGTAGTAGAGACTTTGTAATCACAGATACAACTATATCATTGAATAATGCTGGCATCATATGCCTTCAAATAACACTTGTACTAATAGTACTTGCTTGATAATACTTGCTTGAATAGTAACCACTGAATAGTGATTCAAATAGTAATCCATATAGTGATCACTTATATGCCACACTAATTCCCATATATACATTTCCTTTACCATCACATGATCTACTTACTCAAAATGGGATCACCTGTTTTTGCTCTCTGGTGATCTGTGTTCAAACTCCAGTGTCAGCAGCAATACTTTATTCCTATATAACAATTTTATATTTTTTATAAATCAGATGATATTCAAATTAGATGCATTACTGACCCCTAAGCTAATTAATGATTGTTTTTGTTGTGATCAAGGCTTATATTGGAATTGGCTTGGTGAATCAGTTGCAGCAATGAAATGAAAAGTTTGTATTCTCATTAATCATTTAAAGAAATTCTAATCAGAAGATTTTAGCTAAAACAATTTCTTAAGAGGATTATATTGGCAGTTATAAATGGTTAATGACAAAAGTCTGATGATATAAAAGATTAAAGATTAAATATTCCCACACACCATTGATTGTATTGTGCTATTTTGATAATCATTGTGAAATTTTACTTGTTTAAATAGATATAGTATTCTATAATTACTACTGATTGGTTACAAATAAAATATCTGATCATTTATCATGGAGGATTACATGATTTATTTTCTTTTTATAATCTTTGAATGGAAAATACAAACACTCAATTTGACATTTATTACAAATGAAGCTTGATTTGGGACAGAATTTTAAAATTTTAGTATCTTTGTTTTTTATTTCCATTCATTTATTTTCACTTTTTTATCCCCCCAGGGAAACATACTTAAAAAAGATCAAAGAACAAGAGATTCTTGGCAAAAAATTGCGAGAAGAAAAGAAATTTTTACAAGATAACCAAGTCCCCAATTTGAAGCAAATGAAGCAATGGAAAGACTTTATGCGTATTATGGAATGCAAAAAAAAGTGTTTTGAACAGATGCACAATGGTGAGGCCAATGGCAAAGCACGTCATATTGGAAATGCACCCACTTTACATGAAGAAGACCGACTTATTCTTTGATCAACTTGCAAGTTGTGTGCAGATCTTCAGCAGATTTAATTTATACAATCTTTTTTAATCTTTACAGTTTTCTTTTTTCTCAAAAGATTTGTTTTGAGATATTAATTACAAAAATTGAAAATATGTTTAATGTAAGTAAACTTCTGAGCTATTGATCCTTTGAATAATAGCTGACATTTATTTTTCAAGTGTTGTTTTGATCAAGCAATGTAATTTTTGTATATTAAGATTAAGAAATTTTTATCTCTTTTTTGCCAAAACTTTGAATTTGGTTTTATTTGTTAGATGCAAAACACTACACCAAAACTTATATAGATTATGAATAGAATGCAATAAAAATTACTCAGATGACTTTGTTAAATTAAAAGACGTTATCTTTCTAATAATTCCTTACTTATTTTCTGGCATTTGTAGTCTTCTTGCTTACTTCAAGTCTTATGATGAAGATTTTTAACCATCTTTCATTCTCTTGAATTAATAAATATAAGATACACAAACTGTGAATGAATTGAATCTTTACTTGGATAAATAAGAATTGATTTCTGTTATTGTAAATTGTAAATAATTTATTTAACTGTGTTCATGTGGATTAGTCTGATTGTAAACAGACCATCATAATTAAGCCTTTTCTTCTAAACAGATTTGGATGACTACAAAACCTGATATTGTGACAGTAGATTGAAATTTCATGGGAAATAGTGAAAAAGAAACATCAGAAAGGTGTCAATATTTGGTTAGAGAAATCACATCAACTGCCATACATGAGGCTTTTTTGCTGTTACCTTAAAGGTTTTATGAGATTATAAGAATGTAGGAACTGGTTAAGTGAAAAATATCCAAGATGAATTTTTTTTTAGTATGATGATTGATTTATGAAATATACAATTGTATGAGAGAATAAAATATATATTAATTGCATGTGTATTCATAAATTTTCCAATTGACAAAGATCCAGAGAACATTGATGACATGTCGTTTGGGTCTATAAAGTAGCCTTAGACATGTCCAATAGAAGTCATTTCTGTGTTTGATCAATTAATACAATACCAATCCAGAAGAACTGCTTAATGCATTTTGACAGAAACCTATGGATATCAGGCAAAGACAAAATTTATCAATATATTTGCAGTAGCATTCTGTAACCAGATAACAACCAATAATTCTGTCAGCACTTATTCTGAAGAGTTGGCACACTCACAGAACAATTATATTTGAAATTTTCCCCACTCTAATATTAGTTGTCATAGTTAAACAAGATGCTTTTGTTGATTCTCTGTATTAACTTTATATTATATTATAACAACTTTGAAGATCAGATCAGTTAAGGATTTACAAAGTCTATTCCCAGCATCAAATTTATTTATATCATACAGGGACCATTTATAACTTTATTTATAATTGTTCTCTGTATATTTGACAACAAATTATCAGAATTTTCATCTAAGACACTTAAAGAAACTTCACATTATTTTTCAACTGACTTTGTTCTAATTACAATACAACAATTCTTTATATAGAAACTAATGGTTTGGGCAATGGCAGCAAAGACTTTTTATCTTTGAAGAAATTTTAAAGATGAAAAGATAGCAAATTTTAACTAATGTCATGGTGATTATCTGTCATCTTGTAATGACCATATTTATAATAGAAACCTTTGAGTACTGGGCAATATTAATTATTAACTTACCCAGCTTACTGGAAAGAGATTCTTTTCTCAGTGATGTTTCTATCCAAGCATTACAACTGTATTTGCAGAATTTTTGCAACAGATTCCTACAACTGAATCAGAATTTGATGTGTGGATTTCAATGAAATTGTTTGTCCCCTTGTGGCACCTTGCATTATTAGAAATATTCATAGAAATATGATTTAATTTTTTCTTACTCGGTTACTAAACAGGTTGTTGATTTTTTTTTTAAAACGGAAAATAACTGAGTTGGAAATAATTCACTAAGATTGTACTAGACGATCTTAAGGGAAGAAGAAGGAAAGAAAAGAAAAAAAAGAAAAGAAAGAAGAAGAGAGAAAAAGAGTTGTATGATGCATGACCCAATTGAGGGTGGAGATAGGAGTCAGAAAAGAGATTTAGGTCAGCGTCTTGGCCGATTTTCGAAAGACAATTGGAAGAATAGAATTATAAATAATAAGAAGAAAGAAAGGGAAAAAGACATGATATCAAAGCGGGCGCTTGATGGAAGCCAGATATCGGTCAAAGCACCTAGCCTACTTTTGCATGGAAAGACACCTTATCAATTTGGATAAAGAGAAATTTTGGGAACAATGAAACAATCTTAATCAGAGAAAAAAGTGTCTTTGGGTTGAGGGGAGTGACGGTGGAGCGATATACAGATCCTGACCTGTTAAGAATTGGACACCCACGTTAATAAAGTGGAGACATTTTCAAAGTAGATAATTAAGATTTTTCGACTATCAGGAAAAACAAAGAGGTAAAAAAGAGGGACAGTTGCTTTTGGCTCACGGAGGGCGCCAAGAAGGCGGAAAAGATCCTTTCTAAAGTCAAGACTAATTAGCGGCGGGCTGTTTGACAAAGTCCAGGTGAGAGAAGGCCAAGATGGTCATTTTTAAATACGTGCGAAAAAAAAAGGAAAAATTAGATTTTGTTTTTTTTAAACAAGAACGATGTAACCACGCCCGCAACAAGAGGAGAAAGGATGTTCGATCAATAACAATTGGTGGGAGGCGGTCCGTGATCTGCGGAAGAGAAGGGAAAGAAATGCTTTCGATCAGGAGCGATTGGTCGAAGACGGTCACGTGATCTGCGGAAGAGAAGGAAAGAAATGCCCGATCAGGAACCATTGGTTAAAGCGGTCACCTGACATACGAGAGACCGAGAGAGATGGATATCGCCTCCCCACCAAAAGCACTATGAGGAAGTAGGGGTGAAAACAATAGCGATAATGGAGAAATCAAAAAAAATAATGCGACTTTTGGAATTATCGAGAAAACCCTGACGCCGACGGACCCACCCGGTTTGTTGCAAGGCGTCAATAAAAGCAGGACCCCAGTCGACAGAAATGAGTAGAGTTGGAGTTGCAGTTGGAGTTGAGAGTTGGACCGCGGGCAGGGATAGAGCCTGAACGCGGCCATCAAACCGATTCACCGCCCCTTTGCGGGCAGAAGAATCCTCAGACAAAGAAATCCTTCCAGCCCAAGTCGAAGACAGGAGAACTTCCAGCCCAAGTAGACGAAGAAGAAGATTGCCTGAAAGCCTGAGAAGAATTGGAGATGCAGACAAGCCAAAAAAGTCGATGAGAAGTTAAAGTTCAGCCCGGACGGCAGTGAGAAGAGACCACCTCAGACGACAGAGAGTTGCGGCTAAGTTGAAACAAGAAATCTTCCACCAAGTTGAAACAGGAAAACTACCAGCCCAAGCAGACGAAGAAGAAGAAATACAACTCAAGTCGGAGAGAAGAATCAACTGCGAATGATCGATAGAAATTAGCCCCAGTGTCGAACTGAACCACACTCCGACATACATACATGATTCTAGAAAGTAGGTAATTCGACATTTTTCTATTGTGTGATAGAAGCTTGGTGCCATAGTCCACAGGGCGGGTCGGGAATTGAGAACAATTTTGTTTTTTTATGTAACGGACATTAAGATATAAAAAGGTTGTTACCCTTTTTATCAGCAATTTTGTTTAGTGTCGTGAGTTTTTGTTTTATTTGTGTTTTGCCACCCCCGTCGGACTCGATTTGTATCGCCCAAATCCCTGCTGGTCCCGTCTGTCTAAGATCTAAACACAGCGTGGGTAGACAGACCGGAGATCGGTATAGTTGCTTTAGTGACCAGGTATTGGGCGAGTCGGGAAAGGCGAGGCTGGTGATCATCTGACCAAGGGTTGGGCGGCACGCTTGGACCCAGGAGGAGCGACCAGGAGGAGCGACGTCACCGTTGGCGCCGTAACCAAAGGATCCGACACTGGGCCAGGTGTGTAACCGTCACACCCTCTTTTAACCTCTTTTCCAAACAAACTTGTTCTTCATTAGGTTACAATACTATTTACTCAATGTTTTCATTAGGGCAAGAGAGTTCTTTCTGCTCTCATCTGAGAAAATGATTCTTAAAATAACAAAAGCAGCCCAAGAGTCTTCTGCATTTTCCCTCTAAAAGTAGTCACATTAAAGGTGCCCATATACAATAAGGTGCAAAAATCTAGTCATGATACTCCCCAATTTTTTTCATCAAATAACCTACTTTGCATTTAAAACTTTCCAATAATGATAAATACTTAAGTGCAACATTGACTTAATTTTTAAACTTATTTTTTTATCTAAGATGTTGTTAGCATTTCTTCTGTAAGAATTATTATCTAAGAGGATTAATATTTGAGCTCATAATTCTAAAAAGACACTCTGTTACAATTTCCAGAACTCTAAACAAAACTGGTTTGATAGAAGCCATTATACAAGATTGGCATTTGTAAAAGTGCACACGAATAAATCAGATGTATGATTGTGGTCAGCTGAAACCAAAGTCAAATTATTTGGCCCAAATCAAAAATGCTATGGCAGAAAATTGGCATAACTCAACATCTAACAAATATCAGCTTCCTTTTCAAACATAGGATCAATCTGAGATACTTTTGGGATATTTTTGTATCTGAATCAGGACTTTGTCTTGTTATAAGAGTAACAATGGACAGTACCATGTGTTACTAAATGCTTGAGTAGATTGCCATGCATTCAATCAAGAGCATATACTTAGATTGCAATTTTAACTTCCAACCAGACCATGACCTAAAATAGAGACCAAACCACTAAAGAATGAATCAGATGAAAGTAAATCAATCTTCTGGATTAGCCAAGTCAAAACATAGATTTGAGTGTCTTTTAAAATGTATGCTGAGAGCTGAAACTGATAGCTGTTCATCACTAATCAATATCAAATTTAGTGGAATTGAAACAGTTTTGACATGAAGAATAACTGATGTATGAAAAAAGAACTCTTATCTGGTTATTGTAAGCAACTTATGTAGTTTCTACTAAATATTTGTCAAGAACAACAAATAATTGTGGAGAGTGAGCAAGGCAATGCACTGTAGGACTTTGGTAAGGTTAATTTTTGAGTAAAATAAATCTCTAAAATATCTCAATATTTCACTCTTTTTTGGGCTATAATTAATTTTTGACTAATCTTTCTTCTATCTTATTTCTTTTGCTTTTTATCACAACTGCCAACTTGGTATTTTCTTGAGCAGGATGTTGTAAAGTTGTATATCGTATTGGCCAATACTCAAGTAATTAGCTACACAATCCAAATATTGGCAATCCCTTTTCTTTTCTAAGGGTGTCACTCTTCCTATATTTAAATTAAACTACAAGGAAATTGAATATAGGATAGGCTGTGCTAGGGATAGTTTTACCCAACACCAATAACATCTTCAAAACCAAAACATTAACCTAAGAACACAAATCATGTTCTTAAAGCGCCTTATCAGATTGATTCTCTTATATGGATGTCATGCATGGTATCAAACACATTTAGAAATGTTTAAACTGTCAGCTGTATACAACTGCTTTCTCAGATCAACAGTTAAAAATAGCTTTGAATGAATGAAGCAAGGACCATGCTTTTTTTTAACCTTGTGGACTGGCATTACAGAATCACAAACAAAGAACTGTACCAGATCTACCTTACAACAACAGCAACAACTAAAATGAATAATACATGTAACTTAACTAGGAAATAATGACATAATCAAGATGTTGACATTCCTTACTACTTTCAGCAAAAGGTTAGGAAGGAAACCCCCATCACTACTAGAAAGAGCAATAACAGTTACTGGATTTGAGAAAACTATTTTTCTGAAAAATTATCTCAAGAGAAAAATTTTATAAATTTCAACTGAAAGTCATACTGGCTGCTTGGTCTATGAATGCCAAATGTTTTCCTATGTTGAAACTGCTAATATTACCATTACCACTAACTGAAAAGGTCTGCATCATTGATTACTTTTAGATACAAAGTGTGTTTGATGCAAAAGTTTAACTATTTGAATGATTTGTAACATGCAATTTTACAAATTTCCTACATAGAAGGTATAGTTTGTTTCCCAACCAACTGCATATGATTTATCAAACATATATTAATTATTGTTGAAATTCAGTTCTGCCACTTGACATAGAATGTTATCCTCTTTGCAAAAATGGTGAAATCATTGCTAAGATGTTAGCTATTAAATCAGATAGAATTGAACAAATTTGTTTCTTTGTAATCATCACATTTCTCTTTTGTTCTGAACCTTATACTGATGATTATGAAAATGATCCAAATAAAACTTCTTTCATTCATTTGAAATTTATCCATTAATTTATGAAAACCAAAATATTTTTCTTTGACGTGTGTAAAATATTTGATGTATCCTTCATCAAATGAGAAGTTTCAAGATTGCTGAATTAAATAAACTGTTCTTTACAATTATATATAAAATAAATATTTAACAAATGACTTATTGACACTGTGGAATGGAAAATTTGGCCTTGTAAAAATATTCAACTCATCCACAAAAAAACGAAAGGAAAAGAAGAAAGTAAATAAAATGTCATCCAAAATATATATTTTATTAAACAGTTGAGGTAATTTACAAAAATTATTCCTTTTACTTTTTTTTTTTCAGTTCTTCTTGTGGAGACAGTTTTCATATGACAGGACACAAGATTTCTTAATGACTCTTCTTACTACTTCAACTCAGATTTTTACTCCAACTGTGAACTGGCAATTTGATATATTGTCCTTTCATTTATACATAGCACATGGATGTAGTAGTAGACACAAAATAAGCATGAATATTCAACAGAAAAATGATCAACTCTATTTAAAAATGTTTTTTCTTTTTAATCTTTTCACCTATGCAAAGCAGTAAAGCCACTAAGACAAAAGGGGTTACTGAGTGTGAAAGAATATGAAAAAAAAGAAACATTATTAAGAATGGAGAACAATACAAAAGTAATCAAGAAGTGGTAGATGATGATTGACATTGAATTTCAATTTTTGAAGGTCAAAGTTTGATGGAAAGCATGGAGCTGGAAGAGATATCCACAAGCAAAAAGTGCGATAGAAGAAACTGTTAGCATAGAACTTACAGTTACATCTACCCATTCCAACTGTAAAAAAAATTGCTGCCAGTCTAGTACAGTGCTTAAATTCATAAAGTCTAGGTATCATAGTGGAAAGTTTTATAGAAAAGGCACAGGGAAGCTACATTAAAACAGTGGGAAAGTGACTGAAACTAGGTTAAGACCAATAATATTGCTGATTCTTTGGATTTTATCAAGGATCTTTAGATAAATAGCAGGAACACTGGACAGTATGTCACAGTAATATTCTAAGCATGGACAAATGGTAGACTTATAGACATGTAAAATATGTTCTGGAGAGAAAATTGCCTAGCATGACACATTGGACCAACTTTCTTAGTAGCAGACCTAGTAATGGATTCAATATAATCTTTCCACTTCATGTCAGTGGAGATTGTTAGTCTGAGAAGGCACAACAAATCACTCACCTGGAGGTTAGCATCAGTCTTAATAGAGAGAAGCCATTCCCTGCCCCAGTTAACAGTATTGTAGGGCATTTTTTTTAGCTCATCTGCCAATTTGACCTTATTGAACTGATCGAGCTTGCTATTGTGACAGGAGTAAATAGTTGTGTCATTGATATAGATACTAAGTTGGGAACTGGTGCCATCAGGAAGGTCATTGATGAAAATTAACAAAAATATAGATCCAAGGAAAGAGCCCTGAAGGACACCTGAGTTGCTACAAAAAGATCTAGAATAGTAGCTGTTCAAGACAACTTTCATTTCGTGATTTTGATAACGCGTATGTGCGAAATTAAACATAAAATGGCGACAATTTACATATCGCACTCTGTATAAATAATTAAAGTGTAAATATTTTGAGCTTAAATCATGTATTAATTGTTCAACAACTCACTGTGCAGGTATGAATTTCTTCGCAGTTTTGTCTTGATTTAAGAAAGACGTTTTGAAGCAGGCAAACAGGCAAGACGACTTTGAAAAGATAGAGAAAAACAAAGAGGAAACAGAAATTAGCTTATCACGCATTAATCAGTCAAACCTGGCATTTGTGCTACAAGACTTTTTACAATATTTGGTCTTTTAGCCTTTGAGGTGACTTTTTTTTCTAGTTCTTATTTTTTTTTTAGAAATTTTAATTGCCCGTAAATCTTTAATGTGTGTAGGAAGAAATTTTCCCCCAGACCTCACTTACCAACTATTCTGATGAGTCATGTTGTTTTTCAACCTGAAAATGCCAATATGTAAAGTTTCAAGAACTGTCTTCTGCAAAGTGTAAATTCTTTTTACAGTGACCACACTCAAAGAGAGAATTGATACCGTTGGATTAATCTATCATTAACTATGAAACTCGTAATAATATAAAGTAAGTTTCTACATAGAAATGGTACTAGGAAATATTTAAACCACATTACATAAGGTTCTTCCAAATACATTAATAAAAAGTGCTGGGAGAAAAAAAGCTCTTCTAAAATTTTTATAACCATAAACATAAGTTGTAAAACTTGTAAATACGAGAAACATTTACATAGGAAGCGAGATAAATTCTACTGAAAAGGATGTGAAAATTCGCATATCTAAAGCCTGGGACGCCTTGAATAAAATGTATGTAATTTGGAATTCTGATCTACAAGACAATTTCAGAGATTCTTTCGAGTCACTGTAGAGGCGGTGTTAAACTATGGTGCCACTGCTTGGACATTAATTAAAACCCAAGAGTCTAAGCTTGATGGAACCTACACTCGCATACTGAGAGAACTACACTTAAAATCTCTTGGCAACAACATACAACTAAATCACAGCTCTAAGGGACCCACCCCTGATATTTGTACAATCTTACGTGAACTGCTGGCGAGCAATAAAATTGGCAAGTGGTCTACTGTTCTGGATACTTAGCCATGGAGCAAGAAGGATTGGTCGTCCAGCAACCACCTACATTGACCATCTATGTTATGACAGAATACCTACCTAATGACCTTCCGACCTTGAGGAAGGACTGTGATGGTTGGTGTGATAGACTCATGAATGTCAGAGCTAGCTCGATCGAATAAAAAATAAATACGAAGGACAATTGATTGATTCTTCATATTTGTAATTGCTAAATGTCAAATTTATAGGCTTGTTTCAATTTTTAGGTATAACCATATTTAGCACTTACATGTGTGGAGTTACCCCACTTACTTTCCTGACTAAAACCGCCACCAGAGGATGATTTCTGAACCTATAAATACACTAATATTTTTATATCATTCTCTTTCTCCTATTTAACCCAGGGACGGTAACATGTAGGCCGAATGTGGAGAATAGCACGTACGCACGCCAGTTCTTTTTCTTATTGTCCTTAAACACGCTAAGATGTAAGTCTGTCGTGAAAACGCGTTTCCCGTGGGAAACGCACTCACAAACACACGTACGTACGCAACTTCATTTTACTTCAGTTTGTCTAGGACTTCTACACACATTTTACATACACGAACAATTCAATAGTCTTTCAATTTTTTAATACTTGTTCATTGTTTTGTCACATACATACAATATCATTGTCTTTGTCGCTAGCAACAATGTAACTTTTGTCTTGTTAATAATACATTATCGTTTGTTTGTATATATATATATATATATATATATATATATATATATATATATATATATATATATATATTGGTTTTAGTTATTTCTTGTATTTTATTATCCTGACTCACACATGCAGGTCTGACATTTTATTGTGAGATAAACATTCCAGGAGACAAGTGTTTTTTTAACTCACACCCAATCAGCATGCTTCTGCAACACATGCGACCGGATCCCGTACGATCATCATAATTAAGCAAAGTCGAGCCTGGTCAATACCTAGATGGGTGACTGCTTAGGAATACCACGTGCTGTAGTTTGGATGTGCGGGTGGTGTAATGGATAATGGCTCGGAATTTTTAATCGGAGAGCCGAGTTCCGGTTCGTTATATTCACTTATGCGCAAATACCCTTGGGAAAAGCATGAATCCACCTCCTCTCCCTCTTCTATAGGTTAATTAGTAAGACTTGTATCGCTAAATCATTATTACCTAAAAAAAATTCTTACAATTTAAAATATTTTCTGGCTTTAAATAACCTGCAATGAGTTGATAAGCCGTAAAAATCGAATCAATCAAAGCACCTTTGTTTATTTTCATTGCCTATAATTGTACTCGGGATATCCTAAACATCACAAAAGTATTTTAACTTTAGTTATGCTTGTCTTGTATTAGAAAATTCATAATCACAACATCAAAGAAGAAACAACTCTTTAACATTTCATAATAACTGTAAATATTTTAATTTGATGTATTTTTAACCGAATGAATATTTTTATTTGTAGGTAAAATTTAAGTAAAAATCAACACTTAATCATGCATTTTTATTTCTGATAATGTAAAAAAGATATGTAGAATATTTATTTTATTTTGTGGGATCAAATTAACATGTTTCTTTGTCAAATTCAAAAATTCATTTGTCGGGGAAACCATTTTTGTTATTACATTTGCTAATTCTGTAAAACAGCTAGGTAACATTCACGAAGTTTATTAAAGTTCATTTGCACAGGTATGTGACATAATCTTGGGTATAGTTGAGAAATTATTCTGACTTGAAGCATTTGGTAAAATGGATTAATCAGATAAGGTTTTTGGGGATTTTTTTTTTTAAGGAAGTCGCAGAAACTGACACAAATAAAAAAAATTTCCCCTGAAAATGAATGAGAAATTAATCTCTTCAGAAAGAATATCAAAACGTCAAACGAGATTTCCCGTTTCATCAGTTTTGCTCCATGATCATTTAGAACTTTGGTCTTGTCATTGCCAGAATTTCAAGGTCATGAGCAATCTTGCAAAACGCCTGTCATAATTGAAATTAAAGATCTTTATCGGAAATATCATTAAATGCTAATTTTGTAGTAGACAATAGCTTAATGAATTTATTTAACCAGAGTTTTGTTTGTCTTGAAGGAAATCCTTTTAATTATATAATATCAAGCGATGAAAGAAACGGGGAGGAAATAAATCAGAGGAAGAGGAGAAACGGAAAGCGAGAAATTAAATTTAAGTATAGATACGAGTTGAAAAAAGAAGAGATGAGGAAGATGAGAGAAAGGATACTGACCTATATATGTATATATAAAGGTGACAAATAGGTAAGACAAAAGAACGAGACAAAGAAATTGACATTTAATGACGTCGCTTAAAATGTAGTTAGCCTGTAAGCTACGATGCCAATCCTTTGTAGATTGATAAAAATGACAAAAGAGCGTAGAAGAAATGGTTTAAAATAAGCACAGATAAAAAAAAAAAAAACAAGTTTTTATCGCCTTAAAATTTCTTCGCTAATTGAAATGAGTTTTAGGGAGCTGATGTTTGCGCATGCGTGGATTACACACGTTAAGATGTTCAAGTTAATCATCTAAAATCTCACAAATAACAACTGTAACAATTTCGACTTTGCATTAAGTTAAGCTTAATAAATACCTAAAAGTCTCATTTAACTGAACATTTATTCCCTTAAGGCGCATTAGGTAACCTCGGTCCTCAGGCCAGACCCATCTCTCAAGGTGTTATAGTGGAACACACCTATTCTATAGTTAATAGACTCTCCCACCTATAATAAGTAGGAGTAGTATGAGTCAGGCAGTCGGTGAGTCAATCGATGTCGGACGACCGGCTGAACTCTCTGCCTTCGGGCGGAGAGGAACCCGAAAGAGGCCGCCGAAGGGCGGATTCTCTTTCGGGGAGGTAAACCGACCCTGAACCCGTTTATACGGGTTCAATGGGCATATTTTTGGCCGAGCCCACGGGCTCGGAGATCCCACGTTAAACCGGCCTTATGCCACATGATGCCCTCGTTGGGGGTGGGGGGTGACTGAATATCGTCAGTCGATGTCGGACGACCGGCTGAATTCTCTGCCTTCGGCGGGGGGAGGAACCCGAAAGAGTCCGCCGAAGGGCAGATTCTCTTTCGGGGAGGTAAACCGACCCTGAACCCGTTTATACGGGTTCAATGGGCATATTTTTGGCCGAGCCCACGGGCTCGGAGATCCAACGTTAAACCGGCCTTGCACCACATGATGCCCTCGTGGGGGGGTGACTGAATATCGTCAGTCGATGTCGGACGGTAGTTAGTCGAATACTAAAGTATCAGCGACCACCACTAGATTACTCTGCGTTATACCTATTATATCAAGTTCTTAACGTTTTGTACGTCGAACCTATTTTAGGACCGACTTAGTACAAATACAAGCCTCCACTGTGAAATCACTCCACAACACAATCAGCCAGTCCCCAAGCAAATACTGGAATACTAATATCGAACTCTGGGAGCAAACCGCCTGCATACAGATAAAAAATGAATTCAGCAAATACATAAAAATAGAAAGGTACAAGGATGTGTCTTCTCACCGGATTTATTCAACCTTTACAATGAGGCGATCCTGAGGGAATTAGAAGTCCTCCCAGGATCTATTACTGTTGGCCACAAACTGAACATAAGATATGCAAATGACACAATGTTCGTAGCAAAGGCAGAAAGGAACCCATATCATAGAGAGAAGGTAATAAAAGAAAGTGAGAAGAAATGACTAAATATCGATATTTAACAGTCCCCCCACCAGGAATGTATGTGGCACAAGGCCGAGTCTAACGTGGGTTTCTCCGAGCCCGTAGGCTCAGCCAAAAATATACTCTTTGAACCCACCTAGACGGGTTCAGGGCTTGTCTACCTCCCCGGACGAAACCTTGCCCTTCGGCAAAGCTTCGTCCGGGTTCCTCTCTGCCAAAGCAGAGAGTTCGGACTCGATTCAATAGCAATGAAATGACTAAATATCAATTGTAAGACGACAGAATGTATGTCAACAAAAGAAACAACCCAAGATACGAACAATGAATCAGAGATTTCTGAATCAAGCAAGTATAGAAATTTAAATATCTGGAAAGTGAAACAGACGACGGGAAAATGTGACGCTGAAATCTGAAGGCACGTTGGGATAGCGAAAGATGACTTCCAAAAGCTAAGCAAATTATTAACAAACAGGAAAATTTCTGTTATGTCTTCATTGTATTGAATGAGGATAACACAATCAAGAAGTAGAATGTCGCTTGGAGTCGATGTAGTCTTGCTGAAATAAGTAGTAAGTAGATAAGCTAGATCTTTAACTCTCTACTTGTTATTTCCTAGTATTTATTGTACGAAACTACAAATAAGCCACGTGTACAAAACTAGAATAGAGGGAGGTTGGTCTTCATTTATCATATCGATAACCGAGCTAGCCTCAATTACTGATCCACTTGTTCGTACATTGTTACTTTCACCAAAACATCTCATCTACACAACACAGCCATACACATACACCATAATGCCACATTTACTCCAAGAATCCCTATCTAATCCAATATGTACAGTCTTGTGGAGGGCTGAGTTGATACAAATAAATTGTTCTCTCCTTTTACTAACGATTCTCAGTTGTAATCGCTATATATAGTGATTTTCCAAGCGTAGCTCAGATGTGGCACAAGGCCGAGAATATGGGGCATCCAGTGAGGATCGAACTCAACTCACAGTCATAATTGTTCTAGCGAGACAAGCTTGCTAACCATTACACCACCTCGAGGTGCCCCTTGTAATCGCTATATATTAAGATGAGTCCAAGTCCTCTTTGGAGAGATGTGTTCATCTCCACAACAATTTCATTAGAAACAAAGAAAATTATACTGGACTGTTAAGTAATATCAGTCCTTTTATATGGCACTGAGTGTTGGAAAATCTCCTCACAGATGAAGTAGAGACTTGAAGCAATAGAAATATTTTTCTTCAGGATAAATGAGAATGCTATGAATGAAGCATGTAAACAAAGAGGAAATTTTAAGGCAAATGCAAACAAAAAAGACACATAGTTAGAATCAAAAAGATTTGAAATTTAATAATAATGAATGAAAGTGTTATGGTAATTTACCCATGCACGCTATAAATAAGAGCAGCTACTACCTTTTAGAGGAGGGTAGTTTCCAGCAGTCAGCTCTGATAGTCAAACCGAATATTCTTGCTGTAACACTCTCGTTTGTATTACTGTTTTTCTGTTAATATATTTGTTAACTTATTTCTTCTCTTTGTGTCTTTATTTCTGGCCCTAACAAGGCCACAATAGAAAGAAAGCTTGGAAAATTTGATACTCACGGGACATATTGGAAGCAAGCGGAATATAGATGAGCATCGAATAACCTACCTAACAAGCTTGTATAATGGTTGGCAGAACAGAGACTAGGAGGTATAGCAAAATAAATAAATAAATAAATAAAAATATCAGCTACAAAAATAATAGCTACAAAAGACAGGAAGTCGGGGATTGCCATGATCGCCCTTGTCCTGGATGGACACCGAAAATAGAAAAGAAAGAAACTGCTTATCCGGATTACGAACGATTTTTTCTTATTTTGAGTTTTTCACGTGACCACAATTATGAAGCATGTACGGCGAGTTGTTACGATCTTACACAATTCCCAAGCTCAATTTTATTCTAAACCAAAAGCAGGTAAGAATGACGAGAAAGCAGACCCCACCTTATGAAATAATCGCTTTGCACGGTCAAGCTTTAAAGTGCAATTTTTTAAATTTGTAAACACCGTCCACTCAATACGTTATCTGGCGGCTCCTTCAAGACGTCGGCGATTATAGCTCTCCACAATTTCCTGTCCTTTGAAGCTCTTAATAAATTTTATCTTTTTGTTGTCTCTCGTAAACGTTGATTCGCAATCTATTTACTCAAGTTCTCTACGTAGATTATGCGATGTTTTCCTCTGTTCCTCGGGCCTTCAATCTATCTTGTGAGTATCGAATTTTCCAAGTCCTTTTTCCTAATTATGTGCTCTATAAATTTCATTTTAAGTATAAGTGTACTTTTTGTTTCCATTTTCTCTAAAACTTCGTTGTTGCTCACGTGTTCGGTCCATGTTATACTCAGCATCCTTCTGTAGAACTGTTATGGTGACCTTTTTTACATTAGAATGAACTCTTCCTCCTTCATAAACGAGACTTCCTAAGCGAAGCAGTCGGGACGCAGTCTAACCTGATAATTTGGACGGACGCTCTTATTTTGTATATATGTTCTGTTATTTTAATACACTTGCTCTTCCGCGTCTTTATGTATTATGTGTTATTTGCAAACGATGGGTTTTATTTAACTCACACTTCTTCCAGCTGCTTGCCATTGTACAACTTGATAAACTTATACAGACTAAGATAAAACAATTTGGCAAGAAATTTAAAGAAATGTAAATAATGCCTTTATTTAAATTTGAAAAATCTGGGAAGTGTTATAAAAGACGAACGGAAAACATGACACCGAAATCCAAAGACATTTTGGAATAACGAGAGATGTCTTCTAAAAGCAAGAGATGTCTTCTAATAAGCAATATAAAAAAAACAGGAAATTTTCGTTAGAAACATAGAAAAAAGTGTTCAATTTAGATGTAATATCAATCCTCCTCTATGGCAGTGAATGCTGGAGAATTTCCTCACAGATTAAAATGAGAATGTTAGCAATAGAATTATTGTCCTACAGAAAGATGCTGAGAATACTGTGGACGGGATATGTGAGCAACCAGGAAGTTTTAAGGAAAATGGAAACAAGGACACTTAGAACCATAAAGAGACAGTTGGTATTTCTGGAACATATAATGAGAAAAGAGTGCTTGGAGAATTTGAAACTCACAAGAAATTGAAGGTAAGAGTAGCAGAGGGTAACAGCGATTAGCCTACCCAAGAAGTTTGTATAAATGGAAGGCAGGACGTGGACTGGGAGGTATAATAAAGTGAAACACATTGATTAGAGCTAAAAAGGATAGGAAGTTGTGGAAAGTCATGATCACCCACGTCCTGAAGGGACACGACACAAAAAAGAAGACCAACAATCGCTAAAACCAATGAGAATAATTTATGTCAACGGCCAGACATCAAAGGAAGAGAACCAGAAATAAAGAACTTCACATTCCAAAACGAGCAAAGATCAAATTGTGACATCGATAGACAGAGGGTGTCAAAATTCTTTCTTTGAACGTATTTTAAAAGAAAGATTCATTTGTGTCTATAGAAACCAGTGTTATATGTGGAAACATGTATATGGAAACTTTGAGTGCAAAGAGAGAGAGAGAGAAAGAGAAAGAGAGAGAGATAAACATTTTCTCTTCTCAATATCAGGAAGTGTCTATTATAAATGTCTGATAAGAGTTTAGCCTTGAAACATTTTTATAAGCTAATTAGGCCTCGGGCAAATAGATTTTCAACCAAAAAATCGCTCAAGTAAAATAGATTATTTTACGTCTTCCTGTCATTTCAAGAAATTTACGGCCAGACATTGAGAAAAACTTGATATTCATTTTTTTTTACACCTTAGAAACATTGAAGCCTTGAAAGTTGAAATGTAATAAATATTCTTACAAGGCGTAGTTTCATTTGTTTTATTTATGCGGCGTACAATCACTTACCTTGTCTTTTTTGTGACAGATGCTTTTATTGAATGACGACATTAAACCACAGTTTTTAATCAGAATTTCTTTACTTCTGAACAACATGTATTTTATGCCATCAAAATCAAGAATCTTCTTTTTTTAGCTAAATTATTTTCAAAGAAAATAGAGCAATTTTCATAATCGCAGACATTCCAGAATTAGAAAAATAATTCTTTCTTAGGCAGAAAATTACAGCTTCGTCTTCCCTTCGAGAGAAAAAAAAGCCAAGTGCCTGTTCTCATAAACTTTGGAAGAGAATGATTAGTTACCGTTTGATTTATTTGTCTGCAGAGGCAATTTTATATTATTTCAATAGATGGAATATATTTTTAGCAACTAACATTATTCTCTATATTTAATTACAATAATAAAATTATCACAAAACTGAAAAAAAAAATTAAAATAACTTAAATAACGTTTAATTTCGATGAAAAAAACATTGATATCAGGAATTCAGAATAGAAGCGTTGTTTTTCATCTTTCGAAAACAATATATATATATATATATATTTATAGTTTATTGTTTCAGCACAAATTTAGTAATAGAATATATATTTCAATTACCTTCCACTTTCTTACTAAATTAATACTGAACCAATGTGCGACATCTATATATATATTAGCACATATATATATATACTAGCAGTAGAGCCCGGCGTTGCCCGGGGATGTAACAGTCAAAAGATAGATCAAGTATCGACCATCATAAAGACTGAAAAATAAAATTGACAAAGATTATTGTTTAAGGTTGACAGACACACATGTCTTAATTAATTTTTGTTTTTTTTTACGAATTGGTCAAACCCAAACTCAAACAAAAACATTGTTTTCAATCGTTATGAGTCTATCGATTGAATAGAATTTTATTATAAACAATTGTCTTGTAAATGGAATTTTAAAGCATTCTGAATGTAAAATAAAGAAAAAAAGTGTGCAAGACAATAAGAAACACTACCTGCCAAAAAAAAGTGAAGTTTTGTTGAAATCGGTTGAAAAATGTAGGAAATCCGATCCCATATATAAAGGAACACACACACACAAAAACAAAAAAACAAAAAAAAAAAAACAACCTGGGTTTTATAAGTATAACTCTATATGAGTTGTCCCCCTTTCATTCTGGTGAGCGATACCTCTTAATCGTGTTTTCAAAATGATTTTGTGCAAAAACAATTGTGTTTTTCAATTTTTGGCGCTGTCAGAACCACCGCAAGGTAATTTTACGTAATCCTGTGAAGTTTTGTTGAAATCGGTTGAAAAATGTAGGAAATCCAATCCAATATATAAACGCACAGACACACACACACAATCTGCGTTTTATAATAAGTAAGATTCACACACGTACACACACACACACACGCACACACACACACACACACAAAAACACATTATATATATATTTAGAAAGAGAGAGAGAGAGAGAGAGAGGGATACATAGGTAGATAGTCAAGGAGTGAATGAGAGATAGATAGTTGAGGAAGTACTAAAAGACTCCAGCTTCTGACCAAATGATCAAGCATTAGAATTTTTGATTGAGGTTTTCTAGTTCGGTCAGAGAATATATATATATATATATATATATATATATATATATATATATATATATATATATATAGTGACTCTCCCACCGTATTCGACGTATGAGGATCAAGTAACTCAGTTCCTAGGGACCGAGAGCCCAGACACCAGCACATATGATTTGATTATATTGGTGAAGGCTTTGTGCAGAACAAACTACATTTTTTGAATAGCTGAATACAAACCCACAAGGTCTCCAAAAGGTAAGACTTCAGAGTTGTCCTTCTCCTACGCCAGTTGTCATCCAAGGCTATAAAACCTAGTCTGTCCTGCTATTTATCCATAGTTAGGAGGGAGAAGAAGCGCATTGCGCGCTTATTGGTGCAGAAAGATTCTGGTCGATTTGGTTACGTTCACGTTGTACAAATGCCCTTAGTTAAATAGCAGAGTTGACTGGGCGGTCTTTTCATCCACGGCAGCCAAAACAGGAAAGGAAAACTCATAATGTCATTTATTTCCGAGGATGGTTATGTTTAAATACATGAACTGTCCTTACGTTCTCACATTATTACGAAGAGGTCAGACATCGTGAAAATAAAACATGATCAGGACGGCACCATTTCTCTGTTTTTTTTTTTTTTTCAAAATGTGTAGCTGGTTCTACATAAGCCTTCACCACTAAGCAAATCATCTGTGTATGAGTAATCTATTGATTCAGTTCCAAACTGAACTGATGAGTCCTGATATTTCGAAATCGACGGGAGAGTCCACACACATACATACGCACACACACACACACACACGCACACACATGCGCACACACACACACAGACAACAATCGACTCCACTATCAACAGATATGTGTATATATATATATATTTTTATATATTTATATATATATTTGGTTGGATAGATGTGAGTTTGTGACCCTGGGTTTCACGCTTTTGCGAACATCAGACGCACACACACACACACATACACACACACGCACACACATGCACACACACGCAGACAACAATCGACTCCACTGTCAACAGATATGTATATATATATATATATATATATATATATATATATATATATATATATATATATATATATATATATTTGGTTGGATAGATGTGAGTTTGTGACCCTGGCTTTCACGCTTTTGCGATCGTCAGACAAACTGATTCATTTTTTAAAAATTTTTGGTTTATGTAGATTGCGTGTATTGGTGTTATTATGGAAGTTGGGGGGAAACGTCGTCGTGATGTCATCGTGCTAACGCAAACATCGATGTATGTTCATACGGCCAATGAAGTACGCAGACACACATACACACTTGGTCGTCCGTCGGGACTCATACATATATAAACATATGTGGACAGTTTCGGATATGACATATGTATGTATACGGGTGGTGTTGTATGATGAAATTCAAAGATTGGAAGTGTAGCGAAAATTTCTCGTGAATGTATACATGTCATTTTTCTATCTTTCCACTGAATAATATTTCCTCGCGTGTATGTATATACGTGTGGTGGGGTCTGTGTAAAATATATATGGGTGCGTGACTGAGTGGTTAGAATGGTCAGTTGGGACCCGGGTTCGAATCTCATTATGGTCGATTTGTCAGGAAGTTGACTTCTCGATGTTATCGATCTGGGAAGGCGCACACGGTGTGCCTGAAACCTATGCCACCGGCTGATCTAAACGTGTCGATTGGGTCGATGGAATTGTTCCCGAGCCGTCGATGGTTGTGCTAGCACAAAGCCACAAGTCAACGTGACAAAGGGTTTGAGAGTACTGGCATTGTTCAAACCGCTGATAATGACAGATTTCGTGCTCTTTCCCAGAAGCTGTAACAAAGGTCCGCTTAGCATTGTCGAGTACAAACCGCAGATGGGCTATGTGGGTTTTGAACAAAGACAAACGTGCTCGAACAGGTGTTTGCGTCAAGGATTGGCTAGCCGCCCTAGCAAACAGGTGTGCTGAGAAAATGAAAGTATCCAGTCATTACATATATATATGATAAATAGAGACACGCACACACGAGCGCGCGCGCGTACACACACACACATATATATATAAAGAAATATAGTCTTAAGGTGTGCTATATTTATGGGATAAAGTGCTCAATATCAGAGATAAAGCGTGTGTAAATATAAAAGTGAGCATAGAAGGCAACACTTAAGAGGCGACAGTCTGTTTCATGCTAGACGCAATCGTCATGCCTGACGATTACGTCTTCCATGAAACAGACTGTCGCCTCTAAGTGTTAACTTTATGTTCACTTTTATATATATATATATATATATAGAGAGAGAGAGAGAGAGAGAGAGTGCGGATGTCTAGCTGATCCCTGTTGCAGACGCCTGCTCAGGCACATTTGTTTTTCTTCGACACTCAACGAACAAACCTGTAGTTTATACTTCAGCTATACTGAATATAGGAGAAAGCTGATAATCTGGAGCGATCAATAGTTCAACAAGGCAAGGACGCTTAAACCCTCGGCTTTTGACTCCGGTGTATCACAAAATTCGATGACTACCGAACGGTTTCACTGGAAAAGCTTCGGTTCTGTCGTATGCATCATGTGGTATTGCATCGCTGAATTCTGTTAACAGCTTCGTCGTCGTGGGGGCTGATAAAAAAAAATGTAACCTCTTTGACAAATCGACCATGATGAAATTCGAACTCGAGTTTCATGGTCAGGACGCTAACGTTGTAAATATTATATGACGCGCCCACACACACACACACACACACACACAAACACACACATACACACACACGCACGCACACACACACACACACACACACACACACACATATATATATATATATATATATATATATATATATATATATTATATTATAAAAAAGGAAGAACACTAAGATATGTAATCCGGTGTTCTTATTGATATTTTTATTTTTACAAGACAGTGCCCAATGTAAATTTACAGAGCATAAATATAAATTAACTGATTTAAAAATATGGTTTCATCGCTACACAGGAATTACCATGTTTCAAAAACAGAAAACAAAAACTTCAAATTTAATTATATAATTAAACTAAAAGCATTATTTATGTTTCATCTTCAAGCGAATTTTGGAAACAATTTGAAGTTTTTGTTTTCTGTTTTTGAAACATGGTAATTCCTGTGTAGCGATGAAACCATTTTTTAAATCAGTTAATTTATAATATATATATATATATATATATATATATATATATATATATGATTATCACAAATGAAATTTTCAATTAGCTGATTGATGTTATATTTAGCACCTCGACACCAGAGTTTTGCAGACGAACCTTTTTGTGATTGTTTAGTCCACTCGTCTGGAGGTTTCAGCAATTAACTACCGTGTTCTTTATGTTTTGTTATCTTTATAATAATTTTGATGTTTTGATATATATATATATATATATATATATATATATATATATATATATGTAGAGAGAGAGAGAGAGAGAAATGCAATGAGAACTAATCAAATATCAATTCAAACGTGCATAACATTAATGATGAGATGCTGTGATGTGCATCGAAACATTAATGCATTAATCTAGCGGTACTATATATGTTCGAATGTAATATCATATAATAAATTTATATATATATATATATATATATATATATATATGTGTGTGTGTGTGTGTGTGTGTGTGTAGTTGGTGTCAGAATTATTCGCCACCCACCCACACCCATAATTAAGAATAAATCAGTAATCCCTCATATTTTCATGGAAATTGCATGTGAATATTTTTTGCAAATGTTGAAATAATGGATTTTAAAGAATGTGCCGAGTTCTGCCCACAACATTTTTTTTTTATTCTCGATTATTGTCTTTAATAATTTTGATAGTTCCTGACAAGATCATTACACACACACACACACACACACACATATTTTGTTCGATTCTTCCCTGGCAATAACTTCTAGTTCCTCCAAGTTCGAATGATTTCTGTTTCCTACTTATTTCTTCTTCAAATAAGCCCATGCATTTATAATAGGGTTTACCTCAGGACTTTGTTGCGGGTGGAGGTACGACAATTCCTTAATTTTGTTGTCATCAAAGTTATTTCGTAACAATTTCTGTCGTGTATTTCAGGTCATGTCGGAATGTCCGGTGACGCCCTAAAAACAGCTTTCGTACACATTTTTATATTATTTTTAAGAATACCCATATTTATTCAAATTATTTAGTATTCTCACCAGTTTTCCTGATTCAGGCAGATTTTTTCCCGCAGTAGGTTGTCATTTCTTTCTGCGGTAGACCAGTTGCCATCCAGGCTATAGAACCCGGTCCGTCTTGCTATTTAGCCAAAGCTGGGGGGGGGAGAAGAGGATTCATACCTTTCCCAAGAGTATTAGAACTTACGTGAATGTAATGGATTCGACTGGAATTCGAACTCGGCTCTCCGATTCCTCAATCCTAGCCGCTACCTATTACTCCACCGTGACCATAAAACAGTGATCCAATATTCACTCTCATTATCTATATAGTTTCTAGCATAATCCGCTTTTTCGGTGTTTCTCCTTAAGCAAGGGAGTTTTTCTTAGACGAGCTCGAAGTCCTGATCGATCAAGGCATCTAGTGCATATCGATTCATTCAACCCTGCTTTCTGCACATCATTGACAATGTCCTTTGCCGTTATTCTTCGAGATATTTTCTAACTATTTTGTATTCTTTCAGAAATTAACTGTTTTCTGCCGAAAATTAACTTATTTCCAATAAAACGTTGTACTTGATAATGCCCTGAATTGTCGATGTAGGAAAACGAAAATGCTGGAAAAGTGTTGTATATATATCACCTTGCTTGTACGCATCAACTATCTTCATTCGAGGCTTCGAGTCAAATGCAGCAATTTTCGCAATAGTTGCAGAACGAATGAGTTATTGCGGTAAGTGGTACTCAAATATAGCCTTTATCAGAACTTTCTAAAATGTTATAGTATCAGGTCAATATAATTTCATATGCAAAGATTTCTTGTATTAAATGTTAAATTAAGAAAAGCAAAAATCGTTGCAATTGGCATAGGACAATATTATTTCATAATTTTCATAAGATGGCGAATAATTTCGAACAGCATCAATTTTTAGAAAAATCTATAGTTAAGAATATAATAGATCGAAACTTTATAAAGACTCACGAATTATTCAAAACTAAACAAAATAAACTATGGAGAATTCAATAAGGATTTTTTTCAAATATTCATATTTGCTTAGAAAATATACAAATATTTAGTAGGGGTGAATAATTATGATACCAACTATAAAATATCTTAAGATGTATTTATTGAACTCAAACTGTATCTTGAAATACGTTTCTATTTATTCCAAAAAACAAAAAAATAACATTTGGCTTAAGTAATTCTCTTATGTGTCTGCCTATAAAAAATAAATATCAGATAGTTTTATTCTGCATTAGCTGTTGAGTAATGCTATCTAAAACTGTTCTTGCCTAGACAACAGACCTATGTCGAGAATCAGTATTTTGAATTAGGAAATTCAAAAGCGAAACAATATTGCATCAACAGATGTTAAAATATTAACTCAATTTCAGTAATAAGGCTGCTTTGCTTAAGTGGCCACAAGAAGATTCTATATTCTCAGAAAATGACGACACACTTTCCTGTTATTTTATGGTTATTCTGACTCCAGAAATATAAATACAACTTTTAAAAATATCGACCTGCAAACTAGAAACAACCAGATAAAGTCTACACAGAGTGTATCAAAAGGTTTTTCGTTTTGTACAGACCTTTACTCCAAAGTTTATTTCATGTACACATTTAAAGACTCTCTGTAATTCCATATCATTATTATTATTATTATTATTATTATTATTATTATTATTATTATTTCCTTTCGATTTCTGTCCCAACCAGTGACCTAAGGCCAGAAATGGCTTCATGACATTCTCTACTGATCATTTTTGTAAAAAAAAAACAAACAAACCCTAAGATCACAGACATTTTATACAGATAAAGCTTTTCGTAACGTGTGAGCTGTACTTTTGAGTATATTTTTTGTATTTCTTTAAGGCATGGACTACCAACAACTCCTTCAATGAGTCTATCGGAACCATTTCCAATCAATCTCAGGGCTCCAAATTATTATTATTATTATTATTATTATTATTATTATTATTATTATTATTATTATTCAGTTATACCCTGTGTTATAATGGCAGAGGGTGAAAGTACTGAGATTCTTGCGTTTTTAGGCATTATTTATTAATGGCATTAAAGACAGTTATACTGTACAAAGAACTGAGGAATTGTGGAAAAAATGAATTAATGTGACTTGTCCCTTGAAATAAAACACAAAATTAGACGACTACCGTTTATAGGGGTGGATCCAGCATTTTCATTTAGAGGGAACATGTTGCTCAGAAAAAATCTCAATTCAAATGAGTAGAAAGTCTTTATATATATATATATATAATATATATATAATATATATAATATATATATATATATATATATATATAATGATTTTCCAAGCGTAGCTCAGATGTGACACAACGCCGAAAGCATGGGGCTCAGAGGCACGGGTGTCTAGCCACACTGATGAGCTGTGAAACAGCAAAACAGTCTGTCTGTGGATGTTTATATATATATATATATATATATATATATATATATATATATATATATAAAATATATATATATATATATATATATATATATATATATATATATAAATTCACGTTTGATATGTAAAATTGTAAATTCAAACTTTTAGATTCAAAATATGATTATATAGCGTTTATGAAAGAGGATTTACTAAAGTCAATGTTCGGGGATTCTCATTTGCATATAGGTTTTAGCATAGTCTAACTGAATGTCCTTTGCGAACATACAACTGACCAAGCGCGTTAAATCTGTCTTCACTCATTATAGCTTACCTTATCTAGTTTGCAACAAAAAATATTTTCTCATACATTTTAGGGGGCGTGCCCCCTCTACGCACCCCCCGGATGCGCCCCTGCAAACCCTTAGAAGAGCTAGGATCATCGAAATGTACCATATGCAGAGAATTATATGTTTAAAAAACACACAGGAGATTGCGCCATGTTCCCCATTGATTAGAAATCGAAAATCCTTTTTTATAGACTCTAACATAATAACCTGTGCAAATGTGATCTTTGAAGAAGTAGGACGATAAAACAATGTATTTTCTCACGTTTCAAAAGTTTCTTTGCTCAAGGAACATTTACTTACCTTCAAGATGTAAAATATGACACAAAGTATTTTTCTGCAAAATCGTTCTTGGTTAGTAGGTAAAGAGATTTTGAAATTTTCTCCGACACTCTTTATCATGAGCCTGATCAATGATACAAACGACTTTAGTATTACTGGAGTTAATAGCAGCTTTTTATTCTAAAGATGATATTTTAATTAATATATGCATTGCAAATATTAAAAGTATAAAAATAAAATTCATTGGCAATCTTTTAATTATTCATTAAAAAAATAGAGCGAAGAAATAAAAATACGAGTTTTTAATTTAAAAATCCGAAGCAATTACAATGAATATCTAAAATAACAATAATCTTTTTTATTAATAAAAAATAAGAAAGTCAAAATATTTGAATATAAACGTTTTTTCTTCTTTTTTTATCAAATGTAGAGTTCATCATCTTTTGATAAACAACCCAAAATGATAACATTTGAGTATGTATTGTTTTCTCTCGCTTTTAAAAAGCTCAGATTGTTTATTCAAAAAAGGTCAACTTCATTTTTAGGAGCTTTTTTTTTTTTTTTTTTCAAATAATATCCAGAACACATTATTTTGTTTTTCTTTTACGCTCCTCTGGACATTTCCAGTCGTTTGTAGTCGGTCTGGCTGTGCATGTCTTGACGATGGGATTAAATACGAGTTCAGAAGCGCATTTCATTATTTTCTCCTTGCCAAATTCACACTGAATGTACAAATGGCATTGGTTCGGGTGTGGGAAATAATTTCCGGTTCCGGCCCGGCGGCAAGGAAAAAAATCAGGACATTCAAACCCAGAAGTGTTTCGAACGCAGGAAGCTGATTCGAAATCAAAAACAAAATCGCTCGGACAACTCTTATGCTCTGGCTTACCGTTCACACAATGATGGAAATGATTACACCCAGCGGGATGTGGATGGTATTGATCTCTTAGAGACGTTGTGCATGGTTCTTGAATCGGCCCTGACAAAGGAAAATTATTTAATAAACTAATCAATATTACAAAATATATTTTTTATTACGAATAATAAAAGATGAAACAAAGCAATATCAAATTCATATGTTGCATTACAGAAGGGGTGGGCATACTACGGCACCAAAAGAATTCATGAGGCCCGCCAAGCCAAATGTTAGTAAATTTGAAAGAGAGAGTTACCAAGCAACGCCAAATAATTGTTACAAGCAATTTGACGCCTAATTTTAACAAACTGGTAAATGACTGCAGTCAGATACATTATTCTCATTGGGTCATTGTAAATCCTTCTGTTGCTGAGTTACTTTGTTTTTCATATAAATCTGTTTCATGTGAAGTTACTACTTCATTGAAGTAGTAACTTATTTAAAAAAAAAAATTATTGATATTTTGAAGTAACTTTAAAATATCAATAAAAAATTTTTTCTTTAAACTAAATTACTTTGTTTTCAAACAAATCTTTTCCACGTGAATTTTTCTACTTTAAAATCTAAATTATTTTTTTTCTTTAAATTTAGTTACTTTATGTGTTTTATTTGAAGTTTCTACTTTCAAATGTGTTTCATGTAAATCTTCAACTTAAAAATACTTATTAATATTTTTTCTTTAAAGTAATTTAAACTGAGTTACTTTGTCTTTCAAATAAAATGCGTTTCATGTGAATCTTCTACAGGACTTTAAAATATTATTCAATAAAAATTAATTGCATTTTTTCCTTAAAGACCTTTTTTTAACTATTTTAAATATTAATTATTTGGGTTGATATACTATGCGGCCCAATAAAATTGTGAACTTTTGAATGTGACCCTTGTACTGAAAAGTTTGCCCACACCTGCATTACAGTCTCTTCTATTCACTTGTAATAATAAGCTCAACACGAAATGTTCATTTTGCATTTAGGTAAGTTATTTTATGAAAGGAAGTAATGAATTAAACGAAGTCAATACTCAACATGAAAATACAAACTACAGTACATGAGTTTAAGAAAAAATATGTTCATTCCTTTTTTATCTTTCATCTCTTGGTAATGAATTTTCATCTCACAAATCATCCTGAAGCCATTAAAAGCTTGAGGCGTCCATTTTCTAAGACACTTGTTGACTGAAATTAATTACACCTTTTCTTATCAACACAGAATCAATATCGAGAGAATCTTTACAGAAAGAAAAATAAATCGAATCAACCAATTATTTTTGTCTGAATTTCTACGATCAGGACTTATTATTTACAGCCGGACAAATGTTCTCATTTTTGTCGTTATCACCCTAAGGGACAACGACGTAGTGGGTTAAGGCGTTGGTTTGTAAATTTGGTGACATAGCAATTTTGAGTTCAATCCTCAGTAGACTCGGTAGACATATGGCAAGCAATAACTGAGCAGTACTAAATTTAACTCATTCTAACCATGAGTATATAGTAGCCAGCGTAAATTTTCCTATTTTTAATTACAATTTTCAGTACCTGATTTTCTTACGTAAATAATGTTGTTCAGTTCCTATTAAAGTTTGAAGTGCCTGCTTGTAAAATATTTCAAATAAAGATTTATATTTAATATTTTTTTTGATATTTTCAAAATCGGGTATGATATACTCATGGTTAGTAGTGATGCAACTTTTATTGATGGTTAGTGTTCTAGGGTTAAAACTATACGGCATTGACAACAGAGCGAGAACAAACTACTCCTGTGTAGCCTATCCTCGTTCCACTGTCTATGTATAGTAAATATAGCAACCAGTGTCAACCTTTTTCGAGCAGTGGGCACGTGATCTGTGGCTCATCACCAGGCAGACTGAACTACTAAAAAGCTTCAAGGTAATTTTTTGTAGTAAGTACCTCAGTTATTTTCGCTACAAAAGACCATAAGCATATACCTTAGAAATGGGGTATTTTTTTCTTTAGAGAAAAGATTTTTCTATAATTAAAAAAATTGATGTCTTGGTACAAAATTTCCTAAAGGTTACCCGGATCGACAAGCACCTGATGATGAGCACAACAGCCGAAACGTTGTTATGATGATAGCACAGATGAGGACAATAGTCGGGGTGTAAATAATGTAAGCAACCACTGATTTTGTTGAGAATGTCCATTGGCAAAATAAATTAACCTAGAATTTAATACCTGTTTTTTTTTTAACCACTGTAATACAGAAAACTCATTTTCTTTGTTTAAACCAGTGGTTCCCAAACATTTTTGGCCATGTCTCACCTATGCATCTATAAAATCGTGATACCCCCCCCGTCTCCGTGACATATAATTCTTATTATTCATAAAGTGAACTCCTATGCACGTAGAGGAAGCCTAAAAAGTCATTAACTTAATATTCCTTAAGAACTTGAGACTGTATATATGCAATAGTATTATCTTTTAATTTTAGAATTTTGCAATATTTATAAAAATATTGTGTTACTAATATAAATATATAATACGTAATAACACATGTATTTGTTATGAATACACTCCAACAGGTGCGCAGGATCGCCTCATCAGTGATGTTATGACTTGGGGTCATGACAAATTTCGGGTCTTTCAACATCATACCTGTTCACCCAAGAGACCATACCGAAACAATTCCTATTCCGGCAAGCGATCCTGAAGCAAATTTCCAACAAGCACACAATAACGGACATATAAAAAACTGCCACTGCTGATCTTTAAATAGCAAGCGACCAATCGGAAACGACCTACGACATTTCTTCCTCAGCCAAGACATACACACAAATATTTTTATGCATGCATACTGTATATTGCACAGTAAATTAGCATTTTAATGCTATAGTTCTACTGGTGGAAGATATTTTAAAACATATTTTTTCATATCAGACGAGCATTAATTTTGATTATTTTATTAATATATATATATATACATATATATATATATATAAAGACATTTTTTTTATGTTTATACGTTCTTTCTATAGATACAAATATTTAAGTAAATGCTCTGTTTATAATAAACAGTATTAACGACATTTACCGGCTTGGATGTGCGAGAAATTTTCATAGAAAATATGCGTCCTCCGACAGGAATCGAACCTGTATCCTATACGGAACCGTCATATAGCCTGACGTGCTTTTATCGATTGAGCCACAGAGGAGCGCTTCTGGTTAGCAAGGTCGATTTTACTGTTTTTAAAACACACACACACACACACACACACACACACACATATATATATATATATATATATATATATATATATATATATATATATATATATATATATATATATATATATATATATATATATATATAAAAGTGAACATAGAAGTCAACACTGAGAGGCGACAGTCTGTTTCATGCTAATATGCAATCGTCAGGCCACGTGTGCTGTTATTTTTCTCGGCTATTTATACATATACGGGTCAGTGGTGCATATATATATGCAAAAACACTAAAATGCAATCTACCTTACTGCCCGGTTTTCAACCGCAAGGTCTCCTCAGGCAAGTAGAAGAATGACAATTCAGTGAATTCCACCACTATATATAAACACCGGAATCTAGAAAGAATGGTGAAAAGGGATGGAAAAAAAGAAAAACAATATTTTCATTACATTCATCCGGGTTCATACATACCCAAAAGATACGTGCTCAAATGCCTGTATTTAGATAAAATCTCGGATCTCTCATTAAGCAGCACATCCTCGTTAGGACACGCAGCGACAGACAACTTCTTCCTCTTACACAGCCGGCAGCAGCTCCCACTGACCCCGCCCGGCCTCACCCTTCCAACTACACTCTACCTCATACACGTACTACCATCATCTATCCCTTCCAACCTCCAAACGCAATTCGCAAGCACGGCCCCACACCTGCAACCACCCAATCCTAAGGATACAATATGGTTACAAAATATCTTCCTAAACGGACCCTCGGCACAACATATTGTTCTTTAGACTTTATATGAAGAAATATAGTTTTAAGGTGTGCTATATTTATGGGATAAAGTGCTCAATATCAAAAAGTGAACATGGTAGTCAACACTCAGAGGCGACAGGTTGTTTCATGCTGGACGCAATCGTCAGGTCGCGAATGCTGGATATTTCCTCGGCTATTTATATATATGGGTCAGCGGTGCATTGTGGGTAATCTATTCTGGCGGTTATTTTTGCGGGCGTGGCTTGTTTATTTATTTATTTGGGTTAATTTATTTTACTTGTTTTTCATTTTCATTTTGTATTATTTATTCTTTTCATTTTTTGATGTTTTATTAACGTAGTAAAAAGTTTGGGCGGGGGATTTGCTTAGGTCACTTATTTAATAGTTTGTTTTGGTCTGGGAAGATAATTAAAAGCTATTTATTAGTCCAATGTTTATATTGCTTGCCGTAGTCTATTCCGTTATTTTGGCGGGTGGGCAGTTTTTAATTTATTTATTTGGATTGATTATTTTTACTTGTTTTTGCTTATTTAAGCTTATTTTTGTTAGTTTTAACGGTTATTTTAGCTGGGGCGATTTGTTAATTTGTTTATTTGTTTATTTATTTGGATTAATTTTAGTTTTTTTTTAATTATTTATTTATTTTTTATTTCTTATATTTTTATTTGTACTATTTGGTTTTCGATTTTTGAATGTTTTTATCGATATATAGCAGTTATAGCTGCTATATATCGATAAAGGCTAAAAAAAACAATATGTGTTTACACATCGTGTTAAAATAAAATTAATACTCGTCTGATATAAAAAATAATGTCTTAAAATATGTTCCACTAATGTAACAATGAACACGCAAAGATTAAAATGTTATTACAGCATTGTCAAATCTAAAGTAATAAAATAATACCAATTAATGATTGATTTTGGCTACCTTTTTTTAGTTTAAGTAAATTACGAGCATTAAAGTTAGTATATCAAGTTTCATATCAAATTTGAAGTCGTCAAATTTGAAGAGAAAATATAAAAAATTATATGAAATTGTTTTCTTATAGACTGTATTTATAAAAGAAAAACAAGTGAAAGAAATAGGCCTTCTATCATTATATCGAAATAA